TGCGTCAGGCTGCAGGGAGGCGGCCGGATGTCTCAGGAGCGGTGTGCAGGTGTGTGTCAGGCTGCAGGGAGGCGGCTAGCAGTAAGGGGCTGGCAGAGCACAAGCCACACCCCAACCTCAGGACCTCTACAGCCATGGACCACGCAGCTGCACGTCCTCTTCCTTTTTATGTAAACACATTTTTTCTTTTGGCCAGTGCTGGGGGTTGAACTCAGGGCCTGGGCGCTGTCCCTGAGCTACTTTTGCTCAAGGCTAGTGCTCTACCACTTGAGCCACAGCCCCACTTCCAGCTTTTTCTGTGTATGTGGCACTGAGGAATCGAACCCAGGGCTTCATGCATGCAAGGCAAGCGCTCTACCACTCAGACACTTCGCAGCCCTGTATACACACATATTAGTATCTATGGTACACTTCAGTTCTCTGGGTGGCAGACACTGAAGAGCTCCTGAAGTCGCTGGGCATCAGCCTCACCTGGCGTCACAGGGACTGCGCAGCCGCCACCGGACACGGTGCCAGCGGCTTCTCATCTCCCACCAGCTTTCTTTTCCCCAATTTGTTCCCAACCCACAAAGCACCAATTGCTTCAGGGCCCACTGCAAACAAACTCTGAAAACCCAGCGAAGTTCTCTGCTCCAGCACGAGGCCCATCGCTTGAACAGGGTGAGCTGGCACGGGCCGCCATGGAGTCAAGGCCAGCAGCCCTCTGCTGTGCTCTCCCTCAGCGCTCATGAAAGCTCCCGCAGGGCTGGCCAGCAGGCGCCCTGAGGCTGCTCAGGACCTCCTAAAGCCATTTCCCAACTGGGCCTCCCCATGATGGCATTTGAGCCGCTGTGGAAGAGCACGCTGGTGAGCCCGCAAGCTCCTCTTTCTTACAACTAAGCCTAGCTCCATCTCTATATTCTAGCTCCCTAAAAGGAGCCAAGTAGAGAGGTGTACCAGCCCTTCCTCATGACCGCTACACGGGCACGAAGTGTGTCCTTCAGCAGCCACCTTGCATCTTGAGGATGGAAACTACAGTCAGGGTGGCAAATAGGAAGGGGGTCCTGCAACCTGGACTTGATGACCCCCAACTCCTTCCAGAAGTAAACCACCTCAGGGCATCGTTGCTTGGGTCTTCTGTTATATACCACAGACTCAACATTGACCCAACAACTATTCTCAGGTCCATCTGCCTCCTGTTCAGGAAGGAATTCAAAGAAAAAGGCAATTCACTGCCCAAGGCCACTAGTGGCGCCCTCCCGTAGTGGGGTGGGGTGGAGGGGGAGGGCAACTGCAGCACACCATGTTGTTCCAGCTCCTCTCCATGGGGGGGAGGGAGGACCTCTTTCAGGTGGCAGAGCAGCTGGGGGGCAATGGGGTGCCATGACAGCTTTCAGGGGGGCAGAGCAGCTCTCAGAGAAGCCCAGCTGCGAACGGAACGACCGCTATAATCATTACTTCACTTGTAAAGCCCTCCCAGTGATGTCTGGCAGAAGCTCCTCTTGCAGGCTTTGGCTCCTGGCCTGCAGTAGTTCCCAAAGCTGTATGTGGCCGTCACCCCTAACACCTGTAAAATGAGCCTCACACATCTGGTGGCTTCAAGGTTCCCAGACACACACCCCAAGGTCCCAGCAAGCATAGTAGGCTCACACTCAGCAGGGAAAGGTTGAACTCAAGCAGGACCAGAGTCCTGAGAAACTCATCAGCAAGAGGCCAACGCCGGTGTAGGAGGAGCACCCACCTGCCATGCGACCATCCACCACACGCACACGGTGCTCCTTCTATAAAGACCTTTACATCCCAAAAGCAGCATACAGAAATATGTGCTTTTCTAAGGCCCACTCTGTTCCCTCAGATTTATATGGACTTTTTATACCTTAACTCATCACAAAAAAAATTTTTTTTTTGAGTCCGGTCATGGGGCCTGAATTCTGGGCCTGGGCGCTGTCCCTCAGCTCTTCAGCTCAAGGCTAGTGCTCTACCACTTGAGCCACAGCACCACTTCCGGCTTTTTTCTTTTTGCTTATGTGGTGCTGAGGAATCGAACCCAGGGCCTCAGGCATGCAAGGTAAGTGCTTTACCACTGCGCCACCTTCCCAGCCCACTCATCACAAATTTTGAAATAGTGTGGTTGTGCTTGTATGTATAAAAATAGCTGCCCCAAAAATCGTTTAAAATAAAGCTGGAAGCACCATGATCTATCCTGGAATCCGAAACAACCCAAAACAAAATAACCTTGCACTGAGAAGAGTCAATGAAAACCAAGTCCTTGATTCAACAAATCAATAAAACTCATTTTACGCTCTTGTGAACATGGCCTTGCCACCTTCGGTGAAAGGGCTGGCATCCGAGTAGCATGCCGGCTATTACCACATGATAGGCAAGAAAAGGTAATGCTGGGAAGATGCTCTGCCAGAGGATACCACCCGCCAACATCAACCACCAGTCATGCGAGAGCCAATTCAGACCGCTCCCCTTCTACGCAAGTAACCCTGCTGACACAAGACCATGACCACAAGACACCATGAAGAACCACCTTGGAAGCCCTTCCCAAAGCAGGGAATAGAACACTATAAGGAAGTAGTTGTAAGTCAATGTGAAGGCAATTATATTATGCAGCAATGGTGTCCAGACCACCCACCTTGGGAAAAATCCTGAAACTGGAAATGTTTTTTAAACCTGAGAATTACAAAGTAATAAATAGCCAGGCACTGGTGGCTGTGATCCTAACTACTCAAGAGGCTGAGATTGGAGGATTACAGTTCAAAGCCAGCCAAGGCAAGAAAGTCCATGAGGCTTTTATCTCCAATTAACCACCAAAAAGTTAGAGCTTTTGGAACTGTAGCTTGAGAGAGAGACTCGAGCAAAAAAGTTAGGGGGGACTGCCCTGGTCCAGAGTTCAAGCCAGTACAGGAACAACATTAAATAAAGGAGAGTCAAGTTCCAGAGACTCACGTCTATAATCCTAGCTACTCAAGACTTCGATTTGAGGATTGTGGTTTAAAGCCAGCTGGGGCAGGAAAAGTCCATGAGTGTTCTATCTCCAATTAACTATCAAAAGTCAGAAGTGGAGCTGTTGCTCAAATAGTAAAGCACTAGCCTTGAGCAAACAAAGGGACAGCACTCAGGCCTGGCATTAAATAAAAGAACAATGTACACAATACAAGTGCCCCCAGTAGTACCTATATATCTTCAATGTTTGAGAAAAACATTGCATATATATTGCTATGTAGAGATTTTTGTCGTTATTTCCTTACAGAGCATTTGTATTAGGTGTTAGAAGGAATCTATAGACTTAAAGTATACATGAGGAGGTACACAGGTTATAGGAACAGAGCACACAAATTAGCATTAAGGAGTTGAGCACAAAGAGATTCTGTTGTCTGTTAGGGTTTTAGAACCAGTGCCCTGCAGACACCAAGAGACTTTGTCCTAGCTACAGAAGCAGCACAATGGCTGGCCCAGGGGCATGTAACTGCCATCCTCCGCGGTAGCCAGGCTGGCCCAAGAGTGAGGTGAGATCGTACCTCAAAATTAACAAAAATTAAAGGCACTGGAGGCCCTGGAGCACAAGGTCCTGAATTTATTCCCTAGTACCATCCCCAAACAAACCTCACAAAGGGCTGACGCTAGAGCTCAGTGCTTCAAGCACCTGCCTCTTGGCCATGCATACGGTCCTGGGCCCGATCACCGGCACCCCCAGGATGGCCTCCCCTCCCAGAAAAGAAAAACCCTCAGGAAGAATGAAGGAATCACAATTACAGGAAGAAGAGTGGACAAAAGAGAATATGGCAGAGAACTGAGGAAAGACAGGCCTTCCCAGAGAACAGTCCACATAGAAACCGGTCCTAGTTAAGCAAATGGAATCTTCCCTGATTAAAATGGCTTTGTTCTGATATGCCCACTCCACAAATTTTCTAAACTTTATTTTTATTTCTGCTGAACAAATAGCAGAGTCCTATTTAGAAGATGTGGGCTGGCTCCGGGCACACTCAGAAGGTAGTTTCTGGTGATAGGCCAGGAGCACATCCCCAGCTTGGCAGAAAAGGAGTGGCAAAAAAGGAGCGCTGTTCTTCAGCGGCCCGTGTTTACCTTGACCGCTACCACCTCGCACACACCCAGCCAGGCGCCATAGCCACCGCTGGGCCAGGAGCCGGGGCCACCTCTGTCTTGGGAGCCTGCAATGTTGGGAGCTCTTCCACTTCGCCAAGAGGAAAAGTTTAGTGTAAAACTCTGCCTCGATGAAGGCGAATACCAGAGGTGCGCTCAGAGAACACAACCACATTGTTACTTAAGTCCTTTTTTTTTTTTTTTATTTTCCTCCACACTGGCAAAAGTCCGAGGGAGCTTAAAGTTTTGTAAACATTTTAACTATCCCTCCTCCCACCCCCCACTTTTGAATTTACAAAGCAAAGGAGAGTAGGAGTTCCCATCTCCTCATGCTATTTGATCCAAAAACTATATACAAGTTTGAGCAGTCTCTGTATAGTTATTGTACATGTTTAGAGGGAGGGAGGCAAGAAGGGATGAGGACAGTGGTGATCCAAAACAATAAAAATAGAAACCAAATAGAATCCTCCCAGACCCAACTGCTCTCAGAGCCACTCCAGCCTGTCCAGGCACCGGTGATGGCGAGGAAAGGCGCCTCGCCCAGGAGCCGGCCCCACGGCGCCTCCGGCGGGCAGAGCGGAGCAGCTCCGCTGTGACTGGCCGTCCCATGTTCTGTGGGAGTCTGGTGGGGCAGGAAGAGCGTTTGTTTATAAATAGAGCTCAAGCACATTTCTAGGTGATGTGGAGGGGAAGGGGGGAGCTGGGACCAGAAGCCGGCGGTGCAGGCTTCCCGCTGCTGCTCTCGCCCACCGCCCCGCCGCGGCCTCCACCAGAGGGCTTTCCATGGATGAAGATCTTAGAGATGGCCAGGTTTTGTACATTTTTTTTCTTCCAGAAAAGGCAGGCAACTTACCATCCAATCATCTTTAAACAGAACCTTTTGGGGGCATAGCAAGACACACACGCAATGCTCTGAGGAACCAGATGAAATTCCGGGCTTTTATCGGAAGCAAAAGTTTATCCCTATCCAAAATGAAATTATACAAATTCATACATATGGTAAAGATCCTAGCTGTCTCTTAAACGAGACAAATTTTCACAGAAGGGCCCAAAACAAACTGGTCCTAGTCCTCTGAAGTAAAAATATTTATGGGAAAAAAAATCAGTTTTTATAAGAAAGAAAAATTAAGAATAAGTCTCTCTCCCAGGCCACAGGGTTTCTTTTGTCCCGTAAGGTTGGAGCACGCCAGGGGAGAAGTCAGCTTGTTTGCAAGTCACTATCTAATGAAGAAAACATGAATCCTTTCTCCGAAAGGGTGTTCAGAAAGAGCAGGCGACGGATGTGCACCACCAAAACCAATCCACCCTCCACCCCCCTCCACTGGGGGTCTCTTTGATGCAATCCCGAAGTTAGCAGTGGCAATACAACCAGATGGAGAGCTTGGACTGTCTCTGCTGATACCCAAGTCACAGTCCATGGGACACTGTGTTGCTGGCCACTGTCAGTTACCATTGACTCTCTTCATGATTGCACCATTAGACCTCCTGCCCTTACAGGGGGAGAAAAGAAGAAGAAAAAACAAAACAGAAGGAAAAAAAGTGGTAAGGGAAAGTAAGCTGCTATTAGCAGATCCCAACACACTTTCTGGAGACAGCAGATGAAACCACGGCACAGCGACCATGTGCTGCCAACATCAGCCTTGTTGGGGAGCAAATCCCAGCTGCCACCCTGAGACACAGGGTTTGGCCCACTACGTACAGTCTGAGGGGCTCACCAACAAAATTGATTTAAAGAATCTTGGACACAAAGGGCTAGGAGAAAAAGCCTGAGATGATCGATTCTGTGATTTGTTGCAGAGTGACAGAGAGCAAATGACGAGTGCATGATGTGTCCAAGTGGAGAGCGTGTGGTTGGCGGGCAGAGAGAGAGGGTGGGGCAGCAGCGGGCTCAGTAGTCATCCAGAGTCTCAATCTCGCCCATGTTGAGTCGCTCTGATGACGCGTTGACGGAAAACCCTGCGGGGAGGAGAAAAGGGTGATGAGTGACTACCCCAACAATCAAGGAGCCCAGCCCAAGTCCTCAGCAGTAGGCTTGTGTGAATTCAAGTCTTTGAGCAGATTAGCTGGGTAATATAGGGGAGAGCAGAGAAAGCTAAGTCAGAAGACCTGAACAGGTGAAGATTTCAGGTATCAACACCTAGAATCTGCCTTAGAAAAAGCAGTTACTAGCATACCCAGGAAGGCCACAAGCAGTATTCATAAACACTATCTTCACTGGAAAACTGAACACCAGTGGTCACATGTACGTACTCTTTCAATAAAATCCATAATCAGAGGTTGATAAAAATTACAACAAATAGGTCCTGTGTGGAGCAAGCGACTCTCAGAAAGCTTTCCAGCTTCTCCACCTGGGATGAATTCCCAAACTGTTTCAGCTGCCCTTTGAAAACCAAAAACAAACAGGCGATGCCTTCTACTCCCTCTGCTCCCTCCACTCCAAAAGCGCTTGTTACCATTGGTGGGTTTTCACACCCGTTTTTTGGTACCTCAATGCTCAAGCTTTCAAATAAACACTCATCTGAAATGTTCCAATAACAAACAAGAAAGCCTTACATAATAAAACAGCTTAATTAACTGACTCAAAATATCACGATTTGAAAAAATAAACACACTTGTTTACTAAGGAGCTTGCAGAGGAAGCGGCTGAGCCGTCCCAAAACCCTACCCAAGCCCACCAGCCAACGGTCGCCCATCTGCAAAAGACCTTTCTTCCCTGGAAATAACAAGTCTTAGTTCTTATTTTTGAAGTCATGATTTAGTTAGGTAAGCCCAAGAACCTAAAGACCAAGTATCTATGAAAGGTGGCATATGTTTAAAAATAGCTTATCTCTGATCAAGCAAAATAATATTTATTGAGATGAACTCCAGGAAATGGAAACAAGACTTTTCTTCTTTGTTGCCGTTTTTTTGTTTTTTCGCTTATCTGTCCTTGGGAGGGTTTTAGGGAAAGGCACAGAAATAGAGGAACAAAGGAAAAACAAATGCAGCACTAGTACTCACTAGACACTATGTTGAAAATGAACTGTACAACTTGTGGGTGGGGGATGGTAGGAAAAAATTGGGAGAAAGCAAGGGAAGGGGTGAAATATACTCTTTACCTGACTCATGTAACTGTAACCCTCTGTGTATCACCTTTATAGTAACAATTAAAAACTAACTTGGAACAGTAGTAGAAACTTAATTTAAAATCAAACTTATTTTCATGCAAAGACAAGAAGGGAGAAGTCTATGAGGAAAAAATGTGGCTATTAGATACTATTGTGTTGGTTACTAGGGTAGGCAGTTAGGACATGGCTCTGTTCAAGTATTTAATAAAACCTTACTCATGCTGGGCGCTGGTGGCTCACACCTATAATCCTAACTACTAGAAGGCTGAGATCTGAGGGCTGAGGATTGCAGTCAGCCTTGGCAAGAAAGTCCTTGAGGCTCTTATCTCCAATTAACTATCAAAAGGCCAGAAGTGGAGCTGGGGCTTAAGTGGCAGAGCACCAGCCTTGAGCACAAATGATGATCAGGGACAGCACCCAGACACTGATCATCAACAACGAAACACTAAAAGCCCCACCAAAACGCAACCCCCCAAACAAACTAAACCAAACCTCCCACCAAACCTTGGTCAGGTGTGCATTCAACCTCCCCACCTGACAGAGGAAAACTCTGGGCTGCCAGGTGCAAAGGCATTGCCTTTCAGGGGAGAGGGAATTTCTCACTATTGGTGTTGTACAGACCACATCCTGCTAGGTTCGGAACAGACACACTCACATTAAGGTTTGTGAGACTACCCTCACAAGTGAGCATATTATTTATTGTCCAGCTGATTCATACTGGCCAGTTCTAAAAACTATAGTATGAAACCTAAGACTAGAGGATTATGTGGGAAAGGAAACGAGTCTGGAGCTCCCTCTGTTGGCTTGTTTTAGAAGTAAAGCAAGCAAAGAACTCATGTTGTTCTCTTCCTCTCTCCCTCCCTTCACTTCCCTTCTTTTCTTTCTCTCTCATTCTCTCCCCCCCTTCTCCCCTTCTGTCTCTGTGGGTATTGGTGCAGAACTCAGGACCTTGAATCTGCTCAACAGTCTACCACTTTAGCCATACCCCTCAACCCTTTTTTAATTTTCAAGTCTTGGGTTTTTCCCCAGGGCCAGCGTGGAACATAAACTTCCTATCTATAGTCTCCCATGTATCTGGGCCATGCCTGGGGGCCTTGCTAATTTTTGCCTAGGCTATCCTGGAACTAGATTCTCCTGATCTCTACCACCTGAGTAGCTGGGATTACCGACAAGATGAAGGGTTTTCTTTCAACCAATGGATACCCAATGGATATTTTCACATGAAGTAAGAACTTTTCCATTTTGTGTATAGGAAACCTGAGGCTAATGGACAGTCATTTAAAAATTTTCCAATCTGTAAACCTACAGGTGACATATAAATTTAAAAAATGGAAATGAGTAAGCATAGAATAGAAATGAGCAATGACCAAAGGAATTTTCAGGAGGCTTAGCTGAGCAGTCATATTCTTAAGATGGTCCTTTTCTAACCTGCCCATGAGTTTTTCAATACTTTGTCGAAGTTTTCCTCCTCCTCACAGTTTTTTTTGTTTGTTTGTTGTCGGTCTTGGGGTTTGAACTCTGGGCCTGGGCACTGTCCCTCAGCTCTTCAGCTCAAGGCTAGCGCCCTACCACTTGAGCCACAGTGCTACTTCAGCTTATTCTGCTTATGTGGTGCTGAGGAATCGAACCCAGGACCTCATGCATGCAAGGCAAGCACTCTACCACTGAGCCACCTTTCCAGCCCCTACTCCAATCTTTCAAAGCTCCATTTTGAATGCTTTGAATGAAGACACTAGTCCTTAACAAAAGCACTGGGAAAATGTTCTAAATAGGCCTTGTGAGAATCAGGACATTACCTTATCCAAGCCTTATATCCTACAGACAGTAGATATCAACAAGTATCAGTTCCTGAACATATGATCAGATTCATGGCCTGCTTCCAACCCAAATCAATATTTGTGATTCTAAACTATTTTTATTGGTTTCTCTTATTCTCAAACTAAACTGAAAGTTTAAAGCATCATACAATGTCATTAATTTTTCCTATCCACTAAAACATATAAGCCATCTCTTCTGCACTGAGATGCTCAGGAAGTACTGGCTACTTACTTTAAACCAGTTTTAAAATTAATCTTCATGAGCATACTGCGTAGAGCCCATCTGCTCACTGCCCTCACCTGTGCCCCCACACCCAGCAGCAATGCCAGGCCTGGGCTCACCTAGTAAACTGGGATCTGCTCGAACCATCTTCTGCTTTTTCTTCTTCTTGCCGCTTTGCACAGCCTCAAAGTTGGATTGTTGGTTGTTGCTTTGATTGGTCTGAAATACTGAATGGAGTGTACTGTGATTCATCCCCCACACAGAGCCCTGTGAAATGAGACAACATGGCTGAGAATACACTGTGGACGCATGGCTACAGCCCTACGATTCTTAGAGCCACTAATTGCCCATACCATACTAAGCATGAATATAAAGACAAAAAGCCTGTTACAGCTCTGGCAACACTAAATCCAAGAACAGACCACTGAGCCTCACTTACATTCCAACACCCTACTTAAACCTTTCCAGGGAAACTGGTTCTCTACTCTGCTGTGTCAGCATAGCTGTCACAAGTTCTATAGAAAATATGACATCTATGCTATCTACTAGGAAATGAAATGCATAGTAAATAATCACAAACAAGCACCTGTATTATGCCAATGTATACCCCTCATCTACTCAAAGTACAATTCTTTGCACTCTGTGCCCTGGGACAGACAGGCTGGGAACCACCTGGTAGAATATCACCAAAGAAAGCTAAAGTCTATATGTGTTATTCCTATCAGCAATCCCAGAAGGGATCTTGCCAGCAAATAATGCCTACATACTTACTGCCAACTGGTCAGACAGTGAAATAGTCCACCAACCTTTTGTACTTTTTGTTGCTTTTATTAGACCAATCTCAAGGAGCCAACTCAAAGGCTGAATGGCAGCAGTGGGGAAGGAGTGGAGAAAACACTGGAAGGAGACATGTGAGGCACGGGAACATGTAGGGGTCCTCCCCTTCCAGCCCACAGGGGAGGACATTCCACAGACACAAAGTGCTCCTGCATTGTTCCACATCTTTTCTAGTGCTGTTCAGGTACTGTCACCTGTCATTCCTCTTAGTGTACCCATTAGCCCATCTACTCAACTATCACCATCTACTCAACTGTCACTATTTAGAAGAGCTTTTTTCAGTCATGACTTACAGTGGTCTTAGCACAGTTAAATGTTAATAATAAATCAGCATATATTAAATAAGGTTTCTTTAAACAGAAACACATATAAAACAGAATTATATACGGAATGCATGGTGAAAATATAACCAGAACTTAAGCCTTAGGAACAACATTTCAGTGCTTTCCAATTTAATGTTCATGGGGATTTTATAGAACAACTGATAATGAGAGGAGACTATCTTTTAAAGCCCCATCAACAATACATGAACTATCCACAGATACTGTTGGCTTTGTTGACTACAGTGAATACAGGGGGCTGCAGTTTCACTAACACACGTAAGTGAATCAAGAAAACTGAAACTAGCATGCCTAGTACAGAATAAATGGCTGTATTTACTATTTGGGAAATTGACAGAGGCAGGTAATTTGAAAATATCAAGTCTAGGGCTGGGTATGTGGCTTAGTGGTACAGTGCTTGCACTGGGTTCAGTTCCTCAGCACCATATAAACACTGTGGCTCACGTAGTAGAGTGCTAGCCTTGAACAAAAAAGAAGCCTAGGGACAGTGCCCAGGCCTTGAGTTCAAGCCCCAAGTCTATGTATTTTAAATAGTTTTCATCAGTGTATGTGCAAAAATGGAACTTTTCTAATTTTTATTTCTGTGGCTAGTCGATTATTTATAGGCAGTAATCCTCACAGAGGTACTGCGTATTACTTTTTACCTGTTGTTGCTGCTGCTGCTGCTGCTGCTGCTGTTGCTGTTGCTGCTGCTGCTGCTGCTGCTGCTGCTGACGCTGCTGGTTGGCTTTCTGTTTGGCACGACGCTCAAGGAACTGCTTGGCAAACTCCTTGGCCTCAGAAGTGTCTCCTAAATAGGCCCTGATATAATCATGGACCTCATAAGGAGATTCGACTTCTTTCAAAAAAGAAACAAATGTGGGAACTGCAATATGGCAGGGGCAAAAACACAAGACAGTAATAGTGAAATAATTAATAAGAACAACTTATGAAAAAAAGGAGCTTCAAGTTTTAAGGTATTGCTATACCTCATTACACTTTAACAACAGAAACATGGAAACTCTACAGCTACTGTGTTAAAAGTTCCTTAATCTATCTTGTAGAAACGGAAAAAAAACACCTATCATCATGATGCCTAAAATTATCTGGGATGGCAAACAATCAAAGACATATCACAAAGCTTAATTTGACTAATGTCATTGAAACAGTTATTTGCTTAGGATGCCAGTGATTTGGAGATTCAGTCCTGCTTTCCTTTAACTCAATCAATAATTCATATTAAGTGTGTGATGTGTTCCAGGCACCAAGAAAGATACTGAAGTACAGCTGGGAGGATATCCTCCCAGAGCTCCTAATCCATGGAGACATTTTATGTCTAGAGAAATCAAATGGAAAATGTCAAGTCATGTGGTACTAGACAAATAGCACAAATAACAGAGTTAGAAAAATATGGGTTTTAGACTCTGAAGTCTGGTGGCTGTGTGACCTTGATGAGCTACTTAACCATTCTGAGCCCGTTTCCTAATTTTAGAAATAGGGATAATACCACCTACCTTGTACAAGTATCTTTAAAATTTAGTACCAGAACTGCATTGCTGGGACAACATGTTGGCCCTCGATAGTGCCTAGCACATGGTAGGTGCTTAATGTATGGTAGCCATTATTATTATTTATAATCGCTCGCTCTGCAGCTGTTTAGACCATTAGATGCTGTTACAAGGCCACAAAGGGACCTTTCTCTTCCTTTACTTCTGGTTTTTAAGATTCTCAAGCTTTAGGCCAGGCATCAGGGGTGGACTAATTTAACTTGAACTATCAGTTATGGAGACCCTTTCTATCTCTGCCTACCAGTCTGTTCAAACATTCAGCAGGTAAGTCCTCTGTAAACAGCTCACTACAAAAAACTGCCTGTTCAAACTGTGCTGAAACTTCTTAATTTTGCATATAATTTTATCCCCCCCAAACCTGTCTCATTATATCATTAAAGCAGCCTGAAATGATACATACTCTTTGGCAACCACGCACAACTTATTTGATCTTAATATTGAGGGAGTTTTCTCTCCAACTCCAAATGAGCCAAGTACTTACTGTAAGTGTGAAGCTTGGCCTTCTTAGATTTGATTTGAGTTTTAGCCACTCCTGAGTTTCACCAACCCCTTTGGGCATCCTCTCTGTCATTCCACATGCTGGGGTTCCCTCCCCAATTCTTACCATCCAAGTTATTTGCCGTATTAAGGGCATGAAGCATCTGTTCACACCACTGGGTAAATCCATCTTGGGCTTTATTTACTCCCTGAAAGAGCTTCAGCAACTTTTCTTCTTCTTCTACTTTCTTATTCTGCCGGTTAGACACACCTACAGATTTACTAAAGCAAAACAATAGGGCGATATTATATTCCCAGAAACTGTTACTATATGGTTATATTATAATACCATAAATAATGGCTTGGAAACACTGGATAGCAGTTCAGTAATCTAGTTCTTAGCTTTATAAAAGAAAAAAAAGTTCAAGTACTTGGATTGAAAAACCTCTTAAATCTAGCCTCTGCTAATATATCCTCATTTGTGAATACAGGCCTTCTATTAGAGAAAAAAATGCAATCTTCCTATTTGTTTTTAGGTAAGGTGTTTCATTTTTACTAAGCCTCAGTTTTCTCATCTGTAAAATGGTACTAAGCATACTTCTTTGCGTTATAATGAGGAATAAAGACACTGTATGCAAAGCCCTAGAGCACAGAGCCTGGCAACAATGCGCAAGTAACTAACACACATCTGCTGTTTTTAAGCCCTCAATCAAAAAAACCTGACAACACTACCATTTATTAAGTAGTTACCATGTGCCAGTGCTTTACTACTTCACACACATTGATTTAATCTTTATATTTCCTTTCTTTTTTTTTGGGGGGGGGGGGGTCCGGTCGTGGGGCCTGTACTCTGGGCCTGGGCGCTGTCCCTCAGCTCTTCAGCTCAAGGCTAGCGCTCTACCACTTGAGCCACAGCGTCACTTCCGGCTTTTTTCTTTTTGCTTATGTGGTGCTGAGGAATCGAAGCCAGGGCCTCAGGCATGCAAGGCAAGAGCTCTACCACTGAGCCACCTTCCCAGCCCTAATCTTTATATCTCTACACCAGTGAAGTTACCATCTTCCTTTTACTGATGAGGGAACTGAGGCGCAAAAGAGCGTCCCTCTTGCCCAAAGTCACACAGCTAGTAAGTAGTAGTGCTAGGACTTGAGTTCATGTATTAAGTGTTAAAACCCATGGTGTTCAACAACTGTCTAACTGGGGAAGATGAAATGTAACTAACTTGTCATAAAAATTAACAGGTCATTACAGAGGTATTTCGTAATACGAATTATAGTATCAAAGTAACTTAAAATATACTTAGAAAAAAATGCTAAGATATTTGGAGAAATGTTGAACAATGACAAAAATAATATGCTGTTCTTAATATTTACCATGTTGTTGAGTGCTCAGCAGTACAAAAGTCCCTAAGAAATAATACAAATGTGCTTCTATGGGGAAGAAAGCAATCACCATAATAATGACTTATGTGCCTGGACACAGATGAAAACTCTAAGTAAAACTAACTCCTTTCTCAGCCCGCCCAACATTCCATACGTCTACCATCCCCCATCCAATCAAGGTACACTAGAGGGTGGTCACTCTGAACCCTACCTGAGACTGGAGTTTTTATTTTTATTTGTTGAATTCCTAGGTCCCACTTCTTTTACGGCATCATCCCAGAATCCCATGTTGGAGTTTTTAGAGTCAGCATTACTCCAGATACTACTGACCAGGTCAGAGGCCCACTGGTTAGGAGGACCAGAATTTATAGAGCCCCAAACAGAATTTCCAATGCTGGTATGCAGGTTGGAATGCTGTCAAAGAAACAGAAATGATTATGGTTAACATACTGGAAAGGTGAAAAGATAATGTAATGTAACAGCAGTCCATAGAAAGCCAACTGAGGAAAATGAACCCACTGCATTATTCCGGGCTCTGTTTGGTTGCTGGTGCTGCTGCTGCTGCTGCTGCTTCTGCATCTGCCTGGCCTCTTCCTGCTGGATCTCCAAAAGAGACTTTGTGGAACCTGCAGGCTTGCTGACATTCCCCCAACCTGAGAGTTTCTGCTGTTGCTGCTGTTGCTGCTGCTGGAGAGCTTTCATCAATTCTCTCTGCTGACGCCTTTGCTGTTGTAGAAAAACGAAAGCTGGCTCAGGATTCCTGTTTTTAGACAAGTTACAAACATGCAGTATGCTATATGGAATGCTAATGTACAGTAACTGAAGACCATCAACTTGATGGAGCTAATCCTTCTGCTGCAAATAAATATGTAAACTACTAGATACACAGAAGAGAATAAAAAGATCAAATGGAAAATTATTCCTTACAAATTAAGTTAAATGGGTGCTCTGGCTAAGCATAGAAATGAAATGTCTATGTTGACTTCTCAAGTCTATCAAAATCACAGTAAGCATATACACTTTTTAAAAAGCATAAGCCAGTAAGGACAAAGAACAGATTTTTTAAACTGGAAAGTAAGCCCAACACCAATGGCTCACACCTTTAAGCCTAGCTAGCAAGAGGCTGAGATATGAGGATTGAGGCTCAAAACCTGCCCAGGTAGAAAAGTTTATGAAACTCTTAACTCCAATAAAGGACCAAAGAGCCAGAAATGGAACTACAGGTCAGGTAGTAGAATGCTGGCATTGAGCAAAGAAGCTCAGGGGCAGTGCCCAGGCCCTGAGTTCAAATCCCAGGCCTGGCACAAAAAACAAAAGCAAACAAAAAACAAGAAAGAAAACCTGGAAAGCACAGTTAATGATAACTAGTGTTAACAGGTCCAATAAGCTGAAACCTAAGTAAAGGAAGTTCAAGAACAAGCTGATTCCTACAAAAATTTCAGGAACTGGAGGAATATCCCAGAGTAAGACAAATCTGTGAACAAAAGCAGCAAGAACCTTAAACGGTTAAGAAGCTGACTTTGCCTAACCTAACAAGAAAATGGAAAGTGTTTTGTTTGGAAAGGCTGAGCCAGATGGGCAGGTTGCTCTATTGGTAAATGAGCAAGTACAAGTAAGTACACTCACAGATAATAAATAGGCAGACATCCTCCAACAGAATAGCTGAGACAGAAACCTCTGTGGGGAATCCACCAAGGTGGCCATACACCAAGGTGGCCATACAGACCTCCAACAAGCTTCTACTACCAAGTTGATAAACACACTGAAATCACCAAACATTTAACATGTTTCTAGATAAGAACCAAATACCGAAACAAATACAGAAAATTCAGAGGAGAAAAAAGGGAAAATAGGATTGGATTTTATGAACCTACTTAAATAATAACCTTAAATAAGGTGGATAGTGGTATGTGCCTGAAATCACAGCAACAATGGAAAAGTCTGACTCAAACACACAGCCATGGGGGAGTCAGACTCTATCTTAAAAATAACCAGTGAAGGGCTGGGAAGGTGGCTCAGTGGTAGAGCGCTTGCCTTGCATGCATGAGGCCCTGGGTTCGATTCCCCAGCACCACATAAGCAAAAAGCAAAAAGCCGGAAGTGACGCTGTGGCTCAAGTGGTAGAGCGCTAGCCTTGAGCTGAAGAGCTGAGGGACAGCGCCCAGGCCCAGAGGTCAGACCTCACGACCGGACCCCCCAAAAAAAAAAAAAACAGTGAAAAATAGGGCCAGAGGTAAAGCTCAGTGGTATCCTGCCAGCCTGGAAAGCATGAGGCCTTGAGGTCAAACCCTAGTACAGTCAATCAATTAACCAATCAGGTGTAAGACAAATTTAAAATAAGACACATTAAAAGGTGAAAAGGAGGACTGGTAAAATGGGTGCATTACTTCAAAAAAGATGAAAGACAGAGATGGAAAAGAAAAAAAAATCATGCAATTTCAGAAAAAGAAAAGAAAAAAGAATAGCCGCATAGCAAAGTGTCCAGACTGGAACAAGTTAGAAGGTCCCAGAAAGGATGCTTCCAGGGGGAGAAAATGAAATATGATTTTAATATTTCTCTATGTGGTAAATATGTGTGGAATGGCATTTCTTGCCCTCTATAGGATATAGAAAGAATTAAAAGTCCAAAGAAAATGATTCTAATGAAAATACAGATGAAATAACCATTCAATTCTGGGAAGCAAAAAAGATGAACAAAAAAAGATCTGTGGCTGGGAATGTAGCTCAGTGGCAGAATGCCTACATAGCATGTGTGAGAAGGAAGGGAGGCACACAGCAAGGGAGAAAGGAAGAAATGGAGGGAAGGAAGGAAGAAGAGAAAGCAGGAGGGACAGAGCATAGGCTGCATTAAGAAATGGAGGTAAGGAAGGAAAAAGGGAGAGAATAAAGTTAGTGAATGAAAGAGGAAGAGGGAAAGAGAAGGATCAAGGGACAGAAAGCAGGGAGGAGAGGTAGGAGAAGAGAAAAAAGGAAGAGAAGGGAGGAGGGGAGGGAACATGTGCTGTGATTCTTACTAACACTGTAAGTTTTCACTCAACAGAAATCAAAGTTATTGAAATACTTTCTAACCTTGAAGATACTCTAACTGTATCCCATTTACTGATAAATTTTTAGAGAAGGGTGGTTTCTGTTTTGTTTTTTTTTTTTTTTTAAAAAAAACAAGTAAGAGAGTTGGGTACCTATAATCATATAGGTACCTATAATCACACCTATAATTCTATCTATTCAGACCAAGATCTGAGAATTGGTTTGAAGCCACTCTGGAGAATATAAATCCAAAAGATACTGATCTCCAATTAACCATGAAAAAAAAAAAAAAGCCAGACTTGAGGCTCAAATGGCAGAGCTCCAACTTTGAGCCAAAAAAAAAAAAAAGTGAAAGGCCCCAGCAGTTCAAGGACCAGTACCAGTAAAATCAATCATCAATCAATCAACCAATCAAAAATATGGCAACTTTCAAGGTGAAGAAACATTTTAACTTACTAGATGACATCAAGCACATCGTATGGCAAATACACCTAGACAACTCTTACTTTAGGAGACCATGTCTCTTAATTCAATGAACCACACAACCCAGATCCAAAAGAAAAGAACCTATAATCTCCAACTGATCATTCAAGTTATATCCCCATAAAGCATGTTCTTCAAGACTTGGCTATTATGTCACCTTTTTTTTTTTTTTTAGTCAGTCGTGGAGCTTGAACTCTGGGCCTGGGCGCTGTCCCTCAGCTCTTCAGCTCAAGGCGAGCGCTCTACCACTTGAGCTACAGCGCCACTTCCGGTTTTCTGGTGGTTTATTGGAGATAGGAGTCTCACGGTCTCTCCTGCCCGGGCTGGCTTTGAACCGCGATCCTCAGATCTCAGCCTCCTGAGTAGCTAGGATTACAGGCGTGAGCCACCAGCGCCCGGCTATTATGTCACCTTTTACAGAGGCTTTCCCAGAGCATAACACCTAAGAGGGAACAAGCCACCATGCCATCTCCAGCACCATCATGACTTCCCTGTCATTCTTCTCCCCTTCCCACATAATCTTCCTCTCTGGTACTCATGCTTACTCTCCAACATTCTGGTTTATTTTGTATGTTTTATTTAACTTCTATTGTTCATCTTCCCAACTATCAGGTATTTTGTTTGTTTTATCCTCAATTACAACACCAGACTACAAGTAAGTATGCGCTTTATATGTGTTGAAAGAATCAGGGAATAAGAAATTAATAGCAGTTCCTCCTCTGTTGAGAACTGTTATTCCTCTTTTCCAGCTTTCTTCCACTCTTTCGTATCTTCCTATCTTATGATGAACTTCGGGATATAAAGTTAAAAGCCAAGATACTTGATTTTTGTCACATTTTAAGATTTTCTAGGCCAGTCAAAAAAGCCTAACCCTTCGGACAAAAATGTAGTATGCATTAAACTCACATCTTTGCATCATTAAATTCCTATCTCCACAAAACTCACCCACAATTCTGAACAATCTATGTATTTTTGTTTATGAGTTATGCTCAAGAGCTACAGAAAAATGTTTAAGGAACATTTATGTTACTCAATCTTTGGTTATTCCTGTTGAATTCTTCAAGGTGACCAAATTATAAGCCAAAGTGCCCAAACATAGGCTTAAGTATTTAGTAAGAGTATATCCAAATCAAACACACACCAATCCAGAGAGTGACTACCATCTTAAGGCACCATTAACCCACTCCATCTTCTAGAACACTATATTCAGGCACATCACTCTTTACAAATTACCTCTTCTCGAAGCTGCCGTTCTCTTTCTTCCTCCAACTTTTGGATTTCAGCCAATGACAGGGTGGCTTGGGACTGACATGGCGTTGTATTAGACTGTTGGCCCCATGTTGATGAAGAGGGAAGCTAAAAAGAAATGAAAAGGCAGAATTTTTGAGGAAATGTAAATAGGAGACAAAGACATAATTATGTACAGTTAAAACATCTATGGTGGAAGTGGCGCTGTAGCTCAAGTGGTAGAGCGCTCGCCTTGAGCTGAAGAGCTGAGGGACAGCACCCAGGCCCTGAGTTCAAGCCCCACGACCGAGAAAAAAAAAAAAAAAAAAAAAAAAAATCTATGGTTTTTTTCCTCATCATTTGCAACATTCACTAAAACAAATCTGTCCATATCTTTTCCATACTTTCCTGTATGCTTGCTTGCTTCTATTTCTTTTTTAATCAATTGCCCCAAACCTAAACAAATGAAAATATACATACACCTTTATACTTGCTTTAGCTATCTGTTATATCTAGCGTTATCACATATAACAATATGCAATCATAATGGCAAAGGAGTTAACAAAACAAATGGCTACATTGACTTGGAGATTTTTAATCCATGAAGTCATGAAGAACCATCACTGATTAAAAACAAGATATCTGAATGAGAAGGTACAGTAGGTAGCTAATAGGAGATGTCGGGCATGGTCCTCAGTCTCAGTCTTTTAAGAGTGAGTCTATTTTTAATCAACAATTCTGCTTTTCCTATTATCAATTAAAGCAGAACATAAATATGTGGGTCTTGAAAACTTGAGTTTCAAATGGTTTTTCTATTTGTTTTTGGTGCTGGTCCTGGGGCTGGAACTCCACTTCCAGTTTTTTTTTTTTTTTTTAATGCTTAATTGGAGATAAGAATCTCAGACCTTGCTGATTTGGCTGGCTTCAAATTGTGATCCTTAGATCTCAGCTTCCTGAGTAGCTATGATTAAAGGCATGAGCCACCAGTGCCCAGCCTTTTAAATGGCCAGAAAAATTGCAGACTTAGGAGCATCTTATGGCTTCTTCAACAAAAACAAGAAAACCAATTCTAACCATAATTTTAAAATATGTTCAATGAAACATATGAACATAGATCAAAACGCCAAATAGTCTAAAAAAAGAATCTATACAGTAGAACTAGCTAAGGGTCCAACTAACAGAGTAGAAGGAATGAACAGTTTACACTGTTATCTATATCGCCCAAAGCAAATGAACACTGTCAATCAACCCTCAACAATATGATAGGCAGTAGGGCATGGGGTAAGGGATAGGCCCAGAAAGAAGCTAACAGAGAAAAGGAGGGTAAAGACTATGTAGGCAAATTGAGCAAAACCAAATACTCCATAGGAAATTACACATTTGGAAGGCACTAGTCCGGCAGCCAAGTCTCAAACCCGGCTGCATCACCTCCGGGGAAATATAAAAATACAAACGTCTTGGCTCCACCACACCTAATTGCCCAGAAGATTCAGAGGTGAGAAAAGAGAATCCATAAATCTTTCCAAGTTTGATGTGACCAGGGATGTTGGCTAATACCCTAGTGGCTGTATCATCTTGTAACAGTCAAAAACAATCTCCAGCCCTCCGGAGCAGACGTCTCCTGGCCTCTGCTGATCACTTCCTTAGAAATGGCTATGGTCCCTCTGGGGTGCCTCTAAAGATTCTTCCAACTGCTGTCAAAACGTTCATTTTCTTCACCATCAACTCCTTATCTACCTATCTACAGACACATCACATATAGACATACCATTCTATCTGTCTATCTATCTATCTATCTATCTATCTATCTATCTATCTATCTATCTGAGTATATGGTGTCCAATCCCTGCATGGGTCTGCTCTCTCAGATAAATCATACCCTGCTCTGAGAGGGTACAGCCACTCTGCAAACAGGCTGCCAGTTCCCTCAAAGTGTCAAATATAGTTACTATGGGACACATCATTCCTATACGAAAAAAAAAACCCATGTAACCACATAAAAACTATATATGAATTATTTACAGCAGCATTATTTATGAGAACCAAAAGGAGAAAGTAGTTCCAATGTCCAAATTCATGAATGAAAGCACAAAATGTGGCACATTTATATAATGGAATATTACCAGTCATATAAAGGAATAATCCAGTATTACATGCTACCATAGAAACTTCGAAACTGTAAATCAATTAAGGAGATGGATGTACATCATCTGTGAATATGCAAAAAATTCTCAACCCTACTGAATTATACACTGTAACTTGTTTAACAGTATGGCAGAAAAATTATCTCAATAAAGCTGTTTTAAAACTGCTCATCTTTTCTCATTTAGCAATACTTTACAACCATCTTTCAGTACTTTATCTTCATTTTTGGAGAATAAGGAGAAAAAACTATACACACAAGATCTGGAAATTACCCATGCCTTTACCTGCTTCACCCCAAAGCCTCACAAATAACCGCTATCCTGTGATGTGGCCTCTTAGAAAAGTCTTGACAACTTTTTTGTGGCTCAGAACCACATCTATCTACTACCAGCTCTCAGACTCAAAGCAACTAACTCAGAATTATTCTCAGCATATTCCTCCTTGGTAAATGAACATCCCAAAGTTTTATAAGAAAGTTTGGTGAAGGTTAAACTATATTAAGTTACTGAAAAATTATTAGTATGTACCTGACACAGCAACCACTCAATAATTAGTATACCTCTTACCTCTCCTTTCCACATGCCTTCAGCCCTGCACCAAGCCTTTTATCGACTGCCTGGCTACTGGTCTGCTAACCTCCAGTTATGTTTCCTTCAAATCCATTTAGCTCTCCTGAAAAGCTCATGGTGTTATTTCTAGTGTTCTGTCACTTTAAATTCTAATTTCCTGCCTTGGTTGGCTTTGGTTTTGAACCATGATCCTCCGATCTCAGATTCCTGAGAATCTAGGATCATTATTGGTACTTGCTTAAGTTGTAATTATTTGATAAGGTCTAGACAGCCCATAGTGCTATGGAGTCTGCCTGTACTTATACTTCATTAAGAAACAGTAACCTGTTAGTTGGGTGCCTGTGGCTCACGCCTGTAATCTTACTACTTAGGAGGCTGAGTAGTTCAAAGCCAGCCCGGGCAGGAAAGTCCATGAGACTCTCATCTCTAATTAGCCACCAGAAAACCAGAAGTGGTGCTGTGGCTCAAGTGGGAGAGTGCTTGCCTTGAGCTGAAGAGCTCAGGGACAGTGCTCAGACCCAGAGTTCAAGCCCCATGACAAACCAAAAAAAAAAAAAAAGTAACCTGTTCTTTAAATTTCCCCTAATGTTCCACAGTATTTCTAAACCTCATGCCTCTACTTGCTCCATGATGCCTCTCTCAGAACCTAAACTGCCTAACTTAGACAATTTCACATTTTATCAAGCATCAAAATACCTTGGGGGAATCTATTCAAACACAATCGTCCTGTGTTCTCCTCATAGAGGTTCATACCCAATACGTCTGGAGCGTCTGGAGCAGACTAGGGAATTTGCAGGTCTCACAAGTTTCCAGGAGACCAGTATCTGAGAACTACTGCATAATGCCATCTCTACTTCTATACCTACCACCCTGTATTCTAAATCTCTCTTCCTGTGTCTGAGTTTCACAAAGATAAGGAAGACTAAATCTTATTGCTAACTATGAGCCCAGCTTGAAGTCATGCAGATCCTGCTACAGACTCACTCTGCTCTTCCTAGACACTTGGTTTCAGGAGCAATCCCACAACCTTCCTAAGTTGATGAAGACTCACAGTCACACCCCAGCTTCTGTCTTTGACACCATTTACTACTGGGATCTCAGTCTTCATTTTCTCCTTTGTTGAAACAAATATCTGTTTTGTTTTTTAAAGAATCAAAAGAATTTCCTTGTAGCATCATTGGCCTTCAATGCAAAAAATAAAACAGGCTATCCTTTGCACTCAGGTGTTATGCTCAGGAATTGAAATTTAAAATTAAATTTGGAGCTCCGCAGTTAAAAAACACAACAAAACAAGCTGAGTGTTGATGCCTCACGCCTGTAATCCTAGCTACTCAGGAGGCTATGATCTGAGCACCATGGTTTGAAGTCAGCCTGAGAGGGAAAGTCTGTGAGACTCATTTCTGATTAACCACCAAGAAGCCAGAAGTGCTCAAGGGGGAGAGTGGAAACCTTGAGGGAAAAAAGCTCAGGTGTCCCTGAGTTGAAGCTTTAGGACCCGCATGTGCGCACATGCATATATGCACATGCACATAGCTCTCACAAATGTAACAAAACAAAAAGACTGAGTTTATATTATTTTTCTAAAGTAAGTACACGTTTCAATGTTACTGTCTATACTTCATGGGAACAGAAAACATTCATATAATGGCCTGTAATGTTACAAGTTGCACTGCAATTAGAAATGTGAAGTGTTCAATTGGGGTCTTTGAATCCAACTTTTAATAAGCCCTAAGGTTTTAAGTCCTATGATCTGGTTCACATTTATGAATTCACATGTTAGTATGCCCTTCTGCTGCTGCAAATCTAAACTCTTTCTGGAGGATGATGGCTCGCTTCTGTCTTAGTAATGGTGTACAAAAAAGCATTCCAATGATCTTGGTTCCCCATCAAACTATGAACCAAATAGTTGACATATATGCTTGTATCACAGCTCATGTCCTACCTCTTCTGTGTATTGCCTCTCTGGCTTAAGTGCCTAACATGCATCATGTTCCATCTTGTTGATGATCCAAATATCCACTAGTAATTTACTGACAAAAAGTAGTTTCACAGCTACCAACATTGCCAGCATCTGCCTCACAACAACGTGTCAACAAAGGCACCTCTGGATGTGCCTAAGGTGTACCTTCATCTGTGCCAACTGTTGCTGCTGCTGCTGCTGCTGCAATCTCCGGAGGGCCTCTTGCTGCTGCTGCCTCTGGCGTATCAGTTCCTTCTGCCGCTGCAGCTCCAGCTCCTTCCTCTTCCGCTCCTCCTCCTCATGCCGGAGTCTGGCTGCTTCCTCTTCCATCCGCAGCCTGTTCTCTTCTAATCGACGCTGAGCCTCTTCTTCCTCCCGGGCCCATTTGGCAGCCTCCTCTTCCTTTCCAGGAGGAAAAATTAAAGAAAAAAAGATCTTATTAGTTATAAGAAAAAAGTATGAATCACTCTTGAAGGCTTCTATCAAGTAGTGTATCAAAATTACAGAGAGTGAAAACCTTATTTAGGATAACATGTAACAGAAGATTTTTTTTGATTTTGTTTTTTTAAATCTACCAGAACAAGGAAACTCACTGAAATTGTTTTGGGAAGGAAAGCGATAGAAGAGGTAAGACTGATTGGGATATATTGTAAATATGTGTGGAAATGAAACAATGAAATTCCCCTTTGTAACTAATGTAAGCTAATAAAAAAAAATTGCTTAAAACAAAACATATTGTGCTCACAAAGATGGCTCCAGAGTGCCACTGTAACAGATTACAGAGCGGCCACTTTGAAGGTCTGTAGTGAAATCCAGAATCTCATAGTGGCTCACCATCAGCTCCAAGTCTCCTGAAAGCACCATTCCAACACTCTAGGCTAAGCGCGTTTTTGAGGGTGTTATTCGAAGAGCTACCAAGATCTGGTGAGGGTAGTGGGGCATGTATGGAACCAAAGCATCTATCTACTAGGCAAGACCACCACACTAACTCCCTCCCTTCCTGCCACAAGCACAGGTCTCTTTCCTTTACCTTCTACTACCTGTCCCCTCACCTGGACTTACTACCTATCTGTAGTTCCTTCTCTTAAAACTAGCCCGCTGTGCCCTCTCCAACTTGTTTCACTATTCGGCATCTCCTCACCTTTACAGTTCTGTTTACTCTGGCTACACTGTTCTGTGTGTCTTGTCTGCAAAGCTTAGGTCAATTTTGACATCCTCCCATCCTGCCGCTCACAGGCACTGCGACAGCAGGTGTTCCCTCTGCCTTTGACAATGCCCCACATACCCCTTGCCTGCCATTCTGTGACGCAGGGGAGCTGACAATGCCCCACATACCCCTTGTCTGCCATTCTGTGACACAGGGGAGCTGACAATGCCCCACATACCCCTTGTCTGCCATTCTGTGACACAGGGGAACTGACAATGCCCCACATACCCCTTGCCTGCCATTCTGTGACGCAGGGGAGCTGACAATGCCCCACATACCCCTTGTCTGCCATTCTGTGACACAGGGGAACTGACAATGACCCACATACCCCTTGTCTGCCATTCTGTGACACAGGGGAACTGCAGCACCTGGTGTAGTTTCTTTCTTTCTTTCCTTCCTTTTTTTCCCTCCCCTCCCTCTCACTAACCCCCCACCCCCAACCCCCGCAGTCGTAGAGCTTGAACTCAGGGCCTAGGCTCTGTCCCTAGGCTTTTTCTCTCAAGGCTAGTACGCTACCACTTCAGTCACAGAGCCATTTTCAGTTTTCTGGTGGTTAATTGGAGTCTCAGGGACTTTCCTGCCCGGGCTGGCTTTGAACCACAATTCTCAGATCTCAGCCTTCTGAGCAGCTAAGATTATAAACATGCACCACTGGTGTCTCTGGCTATAGCTTCTATTTCTATCTAGCCAACATTAAACTTCTTTCAGCTTTCTTTCTTACAGATAAAGTCTCCTGTCACATCACAGATTTTTAGATGCTTTTTTTTTTTTTTTTTTTTAAAGTTTCCAATGTAACCAGGAGCAGATATGGGCCTATAGAAGAAGGTGTTAAATTTTAATGAGAAGGCAAAAGATTAAGATAATGAAGCAGTCTTCAATAAAAGAAAACTGGAAGGTGATGGCTAACTTCAAAACTTAAAGCTACAGTAATCAAGCCATCGTATGGTTTAAAGACAAGTGATTAGTGGGTTAAAAAGTCTAGAAAAAGAACCATATTTATGCAAAAAGCACAAGAAAATTTTAATGGAAAAAACGGAGACATAAAAATGTGTTGAAACAACACATTTCTTGCACAAAAAAAAAAAAACCCTGGAATTGGTGCTGTGGCTCAAGTGGTAGAGCGTTCACTTTGAGCTGAAGAGCTAAGGGATAGCACCTAGGCTCAGAGTTCAAGCCCCATGATCAACCAAAAAAACCCCCCAAAAAAACAAAAACAAAAAAACCCCACAAAAAACCCAAAACAAACTTACTTGTAAAATTAAAGTTTTGTAACTTGGAAAAAAGTATAGAAGATAATTTAGTACTCTGTAGCTAAGGATTTATTTTTTTCTAATGAAGAGAAAACAAAACAAAGCTGGGAGCATAACTTGTAAAGCATGTGTAATGTTCAATTCCCAGATTCACTAAGAAAAAAAAAAAAAATCACATCAAAATTAAAAATCAGGTCTGTTGCCAGGCACTGGTGGCTCATGTCTGTAATCCTAGCCACTCAGGAGGCTGAGATCTAAAGATGGTGGTTCAAAGCCAGCCCAAGCAGGAAAGTCTGTGAGACATTTCCCCCTACCCCCCCACCCCCCTCTCTGGTGGGTCATGGTGCTTGAACTCTGGGACTGGGTGCTGTCCCTTAGCTCTTCAGCAAGGCAAGTGCTCTACCACTTGAACCACAGTGCCACTTCTGGTTTTCTGGTGGTTTACTGGAGATAAAGAGTTTTACAGGCTTTTCTGCCCAGGCTGGCTTTGAACCGGGATCCTCAGATCTCAGCCTCCTGAGTAGCTAGGATTATAGGTGTGAACCTCCACCAGCTCTTATCTCTTATTTCCACTTAACCACCAGAAAATTGGAAGCAGAGCTATGGCTCAAATTAGTAGAGCACTAGCCTTGAGGAAAAAGTTCAGGAACAGTTTTTAGGCCCTGAGTTCAAGTTTCACAATAGACAAAAAGAAAACAAACAACAACAACAAAAAAAAAACAGGCCTTCTTAACAAGAAGAAAACACAGAAGCTACAGCAAAAGTGAGAAATATTTATTTAACAGAGCATATCTACTCAGCTCCTGGTATGGTGGTTTACCATTAGCTAACCAAAGTGGAAATTGAGCCAGGCACTGGTGGTTCACACCTGTAATTCTCGTTACACAGGAGGCTAAGATCTGAGGATCGTGGTTCAAAGCCAGCATAGGCAGGAAATGAGAGTCTTATCTTCAATTAAGCACCAGAAAACAAGAAGTGGCGCTGTGGCTCCAAGTGGTAGAGCACTAGCTTTGGGCTGAAGAGCTTAGAGACAGTGCTCAGGCCTAGCATTCAAGCCCCACAACTAACAACAACAACAAAAAAAGTAGAGACTGAACAGATGATGTTTCCAGGCTAGCCAGGTAAAAAGTTTATCTCAGTATAGTGATGTATATCTGTTGTCCCAGCTACAGATGGAGGATAGAAACTCAGGCCTGCACTGGCATAAACATTCCAGATACCTTAAGTATAAAGAACTGGGGTACAGGTCAAGTGATAAAGCTTACCAAATCCCCCAATACACACATATTCAGAATATAAAGATTTTATATCTAAATGGGCAAACACATAAAATTGTTAAAAAGTTAATTGGACATTATCAAAATTTAAAACTTAAATTTTTGGTCCAAAGCATACCACCAAATAACACACACACACACACACACACACACCCAGGAATCTCAGAAATAATTTGGTCCAAAGCATACCACCAAATAAAACACACACACACACACACACACACACACACACACACACACACACACACCCAGGAATCTCAGAAATAATTTGGTCCAAAGCATACCACCAAATAACACACACACACACACACACACACACACACACACACACACACACACACACACACCCAGGAATCTCAGAAATAATTTGGTCCAAAGCATACCACCAAATAAAACACACACACACACACACACACACACACACACACACACACACACACACACACAGGAATCTCAGAAATAAATACATGCCACTTACAGGCAACTGATTTTCAATAGAGATGCCAAGAACAAAGAACAGTCTCTTCAATAAATGGTGCTAGAAAACTAGATATTCACATGCAGGAGAATGAAACCAGACACTCAACTCACATACTATACACACACAAAAAAATGCACTGCATTAATATTACTGAAGCTAGGAATGATTTGTGGGAATCTGATGTAATAGTCTATTTTGTGTACATCTTTTACATTTTTCACAAGGTAAATGAACAAAAACTGGATAATTTTACATTCTCCTTTAAAAAAAAAGGTTATTATTTAAAGAGAAAGGAAATATTTAGGCAAAAACAAGAGCCAGTTAGCTCTTCTGGCAATTTTCAGCAACCTGAAAAGGTTTAACAAAGGCTATCTTAAATCCTTATCACTAATTTTCCTAACTTAAAGCAACAACTGGAAGAGTAAATATCTGGCCACCTGCTTTCGTAACAACTCTTCCTGCTTCCGCCTCTCCTCCTCTTCTCTCCTCCTCTCCTCCAGTCTTCTAAGAGCTTCTTCTTGCTGCTGTCTCTCCTCCTCTTCTCGCTGACGCCGTAATGCGAGTTCTTGCTCTCTTTGGCGTCGCAGAGCCTCTTCCTTAAGAGAAAAATAGAGCGAGCGAGCAAAAAAGAGAGTGAGAGTATGTGAAACTCAGGGTCTAGCAATCAATACACATGCCGTAATTTAAAGAGGAACTGTTTATGTGCTACTATATCTCTGTAAATATTAAATAATATAACCAAGATGTAGAGAAAAAGTATATATGAGTTGCACAGTGGGAACATTAAGAATAAAAAGCCGGGGCTGGGAAGGTGGCTCAGTGGTAGAGCGCTTGCCTTGCAATGCATGAGGCCCTGGGTTCGATTCCCAAGCACCACATAAGCAAAAAGAAAAAAGCTGGAAGTGGCGCTGTGGCTCAAGTGGTAGAGCGCTAGCCTTGAGCTGAAGAGCTGAGGGACAGCACCCAGGCCCACAGTTCAGGCCCCACAACCGGACCCCCCCACCAAAAAAAAGAATAAAAAGCCAAACGAAAGCTAGATGCCAATGACTTATGCCTGTCATACTAGCTACTCAGAGAAAACTAAGATCTCAGAGTAAGTCTACAAGACTCTTATCTCCAATTAACTAGCAAAAGGTTGGAACTGGAGACCAGGCTTGAGTGAAAAACTAAGAAACAGGGCTGGGAAGGTGGCTCAGTGGTAGAGCGCTTGCCTTGCATGCTCGAGGCCCTGGGTTCGATTCCTCAGCACCACATAAAAAAAAACAAAAACCGGAAGTGGCGCTGTGGCTCAGCCTTGAGCTGAAGAGCTGAGGGACAGTGCCCAGGCCCAGAGTTCAGGCCCCACGACCGGACCCAAAAAAAAAAAAAAAAAAAAAAAAAACAAAAAAACTAAGAAACAGATCCAGTACTAACACCCCCTCCACCCCAAAATAAACCCCAAACCAAACAAACAAAATCCTGTTTTTAGAATGTGAGTAGACTGTAAGACATTGGGAAGTCTAATTTGATTTTTTTTTTAAATCAGTTATACCATTTACTCAGAGAGGTAATGTAGAGAGATCTACATTAGAACTCAGCCTTTGGTTTTTACACTGGTACCTTTGGTCTCTTTTAGTCAACTAGAAACCAAAGGCATAGAGGGGTCAAATCAACAAGCCACCCCAAACTCCTAGTGAGGAATTTCTGACTGTTTCCCCAGTCAGAATTACCGGGAGAATGTGTCTCAGAACATGTTCTGAAGAACACCGTCCCCATCCCCCAAAATTATGTTAAGTACAACACAGAAAGGGATCCTACTGATACCATTTTATGAACATTGAGCCCTACAGCATTAAATGCATTTCTTTATTGCTAATACTTCTTTTGTCACTTTTGTACTGACACATAGGGTAATTCTAAAATATAAAAGTAGTTCTCATGTCAGCATGGATCCTTTTGTTCTTACAGAGCACTTCTTGGAGCTGACAAGTAGTGCTAGGCTTTGGGGCCACTAGAGTGTAGATTCTTTGGAGTCTATAAAAACCTCAATAGAAAAATGGACCAAGTGAGTGAACAGAATTCCCCAAAATGAAATAGTGAAAAAACATGGAAAATGTTAAGTCTCACTGGTGACCAATACTTGCACAAAGACTTAGCAAGTACTTCCAAGTACTTTTATGTAAGTAGAAACTTAGGAATAAGCTTCATGGTAATGGGGAATGACTGTATTATTATAAACTTAGAAGATACAATTTCATTTAGTCAGTTAATATGGTGTAAATTTGTAGATGCATGGAAAAATTAACAAAATTCAATGTCAAAAAGTAGGTTCTGGGACTGGGAAGGTAGCTCAGTGTTAGAGTGCTTTCCTTGCATGCATGAGGCCCTGGGTTCAATTCCTCAGCACCACATAAGCGGAAAAAGCCTGAAATGGTGCTGTGGCTCAAGTGGGAACACTAGCCTTGAGGTGAAGAGCTAAGGGACAGCACCCAGACCCAGAGTTCAGGCCCCATGACCTACAAAACAAAACAGAAGTAGGTTCTAAAACACTCAGTATGAATGACACACAACTCTCAAAGAAGCACACGTCTGGTCCTCAGTTCAATCAACTATGGGCTAAAAATATATGGGAAACAAGAATTACATTTAAACTGAATGTGTATATACTTCTTTTCCTTATTATTATGCCCTAAAAATAAGAAATATCTTATGGTTTATCCATGATTTTCTAAGTGACAAAAGTCATAAAAAGACAAATATTGTCTAATTCCACTTTCAAGGGCTATCAGAGTGGTCAGATGCATAGAAACAAAATTAAGAATGGTGGTTATCATAAGATGTAGAAAGGAGAACTGGGACCCTTGTTTAATGAATGCATCTATTAAACAGAGCTGTGGTTAGGGAAGATGAAGTGGTTCTGCAAATGGACATTGGTGAGGGTTATATAACAGTGTACATGTATTGAATGTGGCTTCAAATGCTTAACATCAGCCAGCCAGTGTTCACAACTGTAATACCAGATACTCAGGAGGCAGAAACTGGGAGGATCGTGGTTTTTGAGAAGTCCTATTAATGAAAAGAGCTGGGTGTGGTGGAACACCTCTGCCACTTCAGTTAAGTGGGAAGTATAATGTACGAAGATCACAGTCTGGCCTACACAAAGAAAGTTGAGTCCTTATCTAGAGGGAAAGGGGGGAACAAACAAAAGGGCCAGAGGTGTAGTTCAACTGGTAAAGTACCAGCCTAGCAAGTGTGAATCACTGAGTGCAAAACCAATCCTGGTGGGGGGGCTAGAGGGTACTTAAGATGGTAAATAAGACTAAGAGGGGACCCAGTAATAAAAATATAAATGTGGGGGGTGGGTAAGACGTGGCCCTTCATGTTCCAGAATAAAAAGGCCTGCAGTTCATTGCCAGAAAGATAAAAGAGAGGGAGGGATAAATTTTGTGTTATGTATATGTTACTCCAGGCTCTGTGTGTGTGGCCAGGGGTGTGTGTGTGTGTGTGTGTGTGTGTGTGTGTGTGTGTGTGTGTGTGTGTGTGTGTGTGTGTGTGTGTGTGGCCTGTGTGTGTGGCCAGGGGTGTGTGTGTGTGTGTGTGTGTGTGTGTGTGTGTGTGGCCAGGGTGTGTGTGTTGGTTGATCCTGGGGCTTGAAATCAGGTCCTAAACACTCTCCCTGAGCTTCTTTGTGCTCTACTATTCTACTGTGTTATGTATATGTTACTCCAGGCTCTGTGTGTGTGGCCAGGGTGTGTGTGTGTGTGTGTGTGTGGCCAGGGTGTGTGTGTGTGTTGGTTGATCCTGGGGCTTGAAATCAGGTCCAGGGTGTGTGTGTGTGTGTGTGTGTGTGTGTGTGTGTGTGTGTGTGTGTGTGTGTGTGTGTGTGTGTGTGTGTGTGTGTGTGTGTGTGTGTGTGTGTGTGTGTGTGTGTGTGTGTGTGTGTGTGTGTGTGTGTGTGTGTGTGGCCAGGGTGTGTGTGTGTGTGTTGGTTGATCCTGGGGCTTGAAATCAGGTCCTAAACACTCTCCCTGAGCTTCTTTGTGCTCTACTATTCTACTATTTGAGCCACAGCTCCACTTCTGGCTTCTTGGTGATTAACTGGAGATTATCAATGAGTTTCCTGGATTGACTTTGAACCTCTATCCTCAGATCTCAGCCTGAGTAGCTAGGGTTATAGTTGTGAGCCACAGGCACTTGGCATTACAACAAGTGTTTTAAAAAACCCATTTGACTTTATAAATAACATAACATTTAATTTTATGAACCAAACATTACATTTTCATGTTTTTAGTATTAAGAATAGACCAGGGTGATACATGCCTATAAATCCAACTACTCAAAAGGCAGAGATCAGAAGGATCATGATTCAAGGCCCACCAGGGCAAAAAGGTAGTAAGATTCATCATAACAAACAAGCCAAGTATAGTGGCTCACATCTATCTAAGGAGGTATAGATAAGAGGATCACAGTCTGAGATCAGCCAAAGTAAACTGGGTTTGAAGCATGCCTCAAGTGATGGTGTGCTTGCCCAGCAAAGCAAAACACCCTGAGTACAAAAACCCCAGTAATATCAAAATTTTCTAAAGAGGGAGGCAGGCTTTGCCTTGAAATCTAACTCATTTATCAATAGTTTTGCATTGGGTGTTGGTAGACAATAGACACTGCTTCTATTATCCTGTGGATGGTGGTATGAGGTGTGCAGCTCTAACCAAGAGCTACTCTACAAGCAAGAGTCCTCAGAGATTTACCTGTTTCCTTCGGGCAAGCTCTTCCTCCTCCCGCCGTTTCCTCTCTTCCTCCTGCTGCCTCCGAAGCATTTCTTCCTGTTGCCTACGGAGCTCTTCTTGCCTCTTTCGTTCCTCCTCTTCCCGTTTTGCCCTCATTTCTGCCTCTCTTCTCTCCTGCTCTAGCTGGGATTGTATAAGAATATTCTTAAATACATGGAATAACCCAAAAAGCACTGAGTCAAGTTGTCACAGAAAGTAGGAGGTAGAGACACTGTCATCAGCTTAGCTACTTTTGTGTTACAGGTGGGTGATGAAACCCTATGTTAAATAACTACTACAGCTGTATACTCTTCTACACTTAATGCTTCTCCTCTCACTTTGATCACCTCCTCACTTCACACTACATTGTATCGTATGTGTGTGTATGTGTGTGTGTGTGTGTGTGTGACAGCAAGTGTCCAGTGACAGCAATGTCAGAACACTTCTGGGATGGTTTGACTGGTGTTTTTTTACTCATCATTACAAAGATTTTTCTGACAGAAGATCTAGCAGTGGTGGCTACAAGGTATTAGCACCTATGTAGTAAAGCTGTCAGGAAGTAATAGCAATTATCAGCCTCATCATTCCTAAATCTAGTTTCCTCACATCTAGCTTTGTCCAAGTTCCTTAGCTTAACACAATCTCCATGAAAAACATTACTCTATTCTAAAAATAAATGCTAATTCCTTGATATAATAAACATAAGGCTCCTTATAACTGGCCTGCCTCACCTTCTTGAGTCTCTTCATTTTTTTTCATCCCTCAAATGTAATTCCAAGCCAGACTCATTTTATTTACTGTTCTTTGAGTTCAACTTGTTCTCACACTTCTAAATAGTTCTCAGGCTGAGAACGTAGCTTAGTGGTAAAGTGCTTGCTTAACATGAATGAAGCCCAGGTTTAATTCCTCAGTACCATGTAAACAGAAAAAGCAGGAAGTAAAACTATGGATAAGTGGTAGAGTGCTAGCCTTGAGCAAAAGAAGCCCAGGGACAGTGCCCAGGCCCTGAGTTCAAGCCACAGGATTGGCAAAAAATAAATAGACATTCTCTTTTGAAAAATATTAAAACCGAAATTCAAGATTCTAGCTCTCCAGAAAACGTGAATGGAACACAAGGTATGACACTACTAAGCCTCAGTTTCATACATGACTAGAAAATGACTATAAAAGTTCAGTGTGGGAACTCAAGTCAGACCATGAGGTCTAATAAACAAATTATAATGGGTATTTTTCTCAGTCTTAGTACTTATAAAATGTTCATAACACAAATAATACAACTATTAATATGACCATGATCAATGTAACTGTCAACCAACATTTATACATTAATTTGAATTGTTTTGAGGGTTTTTAAGAAAAAAAGGCAGAATAATAGATTTTAAACATACTGTACCAGGTAAATAGCAGTAAACCAAAATTTATAGCTGACCAGAGAGAGAGAGAGAGAGAGAAGGAGGGAGAGGGAGAGGGAGAGAAGGTGCAACTGTGAGTTGTGCCCCACCAAGAAAGAATGAGCTTCAAACCTTTGCAGCTTTGGCCTTCTCCAGCTGCTGAAGCTGTTCTAGGGCAGGGCCTGGTGTTGTAGTGTCCAGGGGAAGATCCCATACACTACTGCCTTCCCAAACTGTAAACAAGGGTAAAAATGATGGAAGTGAGAGATCACACACATGGTATACTGTAAAAAGCCTTTTCTGTGCCTGAACAAGCCATATCATACACATTGGTTGTGTGTGTGTGTGTGTGTGTGTGTGTATGCACACCAGTCCCAGGTCTTGAGCTCAGGGCCTGGGCAGTAGAAGTACAGCTCTGGATTCTGGTGGTTAATTGGAGGTTAGAGACTCATGGACTTCCCCTGCTTGGGCAGGAAAGGGTTTCAGCCTCCTGAACAGCTAGGATTAAAGTTGTGAGCCACTAGCATCAGGCTTTTTTTTTTTTTTTTTGGTGCTGGTCTTGGGGCTTGAACTCAGAGTTTAGGTGCTGTCCCTGAGCTTTTATGGCTCTAATACTTTGAGCCACAGCTCCACTTGAGGCTTTTTGGAGTTAAGAGTCTCATGGATTTTACTGCCCCAGCTGGTTTCAAATCACATTTCTCAGATTTCAGCCTGCTGAGTAGTTAGCTAGGATTCTAAGTATGAGCTACTAGCACCCAGCATTTTACTTTTTTTTTTTTTTTTTGGTCCAGTTGTGGGGCCTGAACTCTGGGCCTGGGCACTGTCCCTCAGCTTTTCAGCTCAAGGCTACCACTCTACCACTTGAGCCACAGCGCCACTTCCGGCTTTTTTTCTTTTTGCTTATGTGGTGCTGGGGAATCGAACCCAGGGCCTCAGGCATGCAAGGCAAGCGCTCTACCACTGAGCCACCTGCCCAGCCCCAGCATTTTACTTTTTATGTAAAACATATTCTTGCTATGTAGCCCAGGCTGGCATCAACTTCAAGATTTTCCAGCTTCAGCCTCCTTGACATACTGGGATTATAGAGATGTGTCACTCTGCTGCTAAGCTTTCAAGCAGAGTGAACTTTAAGTATGCTGTAGTTCCTACCCATATTAATACATCTAGAAGAAAGGAAATATGAGGCCTTCACTGGGAAACTGATTTCATTGTTAAAAATCCCAGTAACACTTGTTCATATGCTCATCTTCACAGATAAACAAAAATGTCATAATACCAGGATTTAAACTCCAGTGTACTGGAGTGGCTGCTCAATGTAATGTATTAACTGCCACTGTAATTGTTAATTCATTTAAGAATGGTTAAAAACATAAATTCATCCTAATAAGGAGAAGACAGCACACACACTACAGCCAGACTGGGGATGACTCTGGAAAGACTGGCTAGGTCCTACAGAAAACATTTGGTCTGGCTGGCCTAAAAGCAACACAGGATCAGACCAAGAAGTTAACAAATAAAGGCTTCTAAGGACATTTTTCTTTATTTTTTATTTTTATTTTTGTTTTTTAAAGCACACATTCTTGGTTTGGGTGTTACTTCCTTGTCGATCCTGTGGGTGACTATGAGGCTATTGCAAACATTGTCTACCCTCTTTTAATCTTAGTTTCTTTTCTTCTTAGTTTAAGGACATTTTTCTTATTTCCATTGAACTAGTTTTCAACAGTCTCTATTTTCTAAATTTCTACTATAATCAATTTCTGAACTATTAAATGTTGTCTGAATAAAATTTGTGGTCTGGCACTGGGAGGTCACACCTGTAATATAGTTACTCAGGAGGCTGAGATCTGAGGATGGAGGTTCAAAACCTGACTGGACACGAAAGTCTGTGAGACTCTTATCTCCAATTAACCACGAGAAAACTGGAGTGGAACTGTGGCTCAAAGTGGTAGAGCACTAGCCATGAGCAGAAAAGCTCAGGGACAGTGCCTAGTCCCTGAGTTCAAGCCCCATGACCGACCAAAACAAACAAAACTAAAAAATGTATGGACTAGTTTAAGGACCTTGGGTTAATATAAGCTCAAAGAAAAATTATTTAATAAAGTACTTAAGAATTTCTATAATACTACAGAATATTTTAACATCTTATCTATAAATGAATACCAGGAAAAAATATTTTATACATAGTATGAAAAGTTTCTACAGGAGAACAGTAAGTCCCACTGTAATAACCTTCAGAATCAATGTTAAGAAAACTATAGCTTAGTGGTGCTGTGGCTCAAGTGGTAGAGTGCTTCTTTGAATTGACAGAGCTCAGGGACAGCACCCAGGCCCAGAGTTCAAGCCCCGCAACCAACAAAAAAACAAAACTAAACTAAACAGAAAACTACAGCTTGTTGGCACAACACCTCAGAAAATTCTGCATTTAAGGTACTTGAGAATCTTCAAACTCAATTATCTCTTCTTAATAACTTCTAAGTTTTCAAAATTTCCAAAGATTAGAAAACAAAGAAAGGTATTCACTTCAAAACAGGCTTTTCTCCTCCTCAAATTATTGACAATCTGTAGTGTTAATTAGCATTATGTCTCAATCTTTAATTCAAAAGGAGAGACCATGGAAGTAGAGGTGTGGCTCAAATGGTAGAGCATTAGCTTTGAGTGGAAAAAACCAAGCAGGATGTGTTGGCCCAAGTTAGTCCCCAGTACCAGCACAAAAGGAGAGATAACTGTTACTTCTGCTTCCTCTCACCTCACACCATGACTGAAGAGATAAACAGACTTTTCTATGGCTAGAGGTATGATTCAGTGGCAAAGCACTTATCTAGCATTCACTCGGACCTTCATTTAATCCTAATACGACATAAGAAAATGACTTCTCCACGTTGCTTTGAGGTAACATTAAAAAAAGAGAGAAGCTGGGCTGGGAAGGTGGCTCAGTGGTAGAGCGCTTGCCTTGCATGCTCGAGGCCCTGGGTTCGATTCCTCAGCACCACATAAGCAAAAAGAAAAAAGCCGGAAGTGGCAATGTGGCTCAAGTGGTAGTGTGCTAGCCTTGAGCTGAAGAGCTGAGGGACAGCGCCCAGGCCCCGAGTTCAGGACCCACGACCGGACCCAAAAAAAAAGAGAGAAGCTGATTCAAAATATTCAATAAATATATAGTAAACAATTTCTAACAAATTTAAAGTACATTTTCAACATATGGATGCAATCTTTTTCTTGGTCTATTAAAATGAAACTTTTTGTTAATATTCAATAAAAATGGATCAAAATCTGATAATTTTCACTTGAATCATAAACTATTATTACAGTCTAAATCCTTGGGCATGTACCAAAAGCGTATCCCAAAAGCATATCCAAGTTTTTACCTGTGGGTTGTGAAGCAGCTGGCTGAAGCTCCCATATAGAGCTAGTATCTGGCACCGAGACAGACCTCGTTACTGAGGGAATGAGGTTCTGATCAGATATTCTGCAAAAGGGGAAAAGAACAAGAATGTGTTCTTGTTACTTGCAAAAACAGGACAAACAATCTCTATATTACTTGTAGGTCACTCTTCCAGATTATTTGGTCAGAAAACTTTCATTATTTTAAATAAAACCTAACACTACCAAAGCAATTAGGAAAGGAGCAAAATTAGAAGCAGTGATCATTGACCAGGACTCAAACTAGCCACCTGATGCTTGCTTCCACTCACTGGCTGGTGCTCTATCACCTCAGCCATGCCTCTAACACACAAGTATTTATTTCTAAATAATGGCCACACATGCTTCTCAACGAAATCCAGATTATCTCAGTAACAGTCATGGCAAAACATGCTGTGATGGAAAAGCCAAAATTTTGCATTTTCTTATTTTCCTCTGGAGTTTTGCTTGTGTTAGGTTAGTCAAGTCCTTGTCTTTAAGAGTCCCAGTTTGTATAACTTTAAAACAGAGGTCTTACCTATCTACTTGCTACATGGGGTAGAGCTCAAAGGAGAAATGAAAATCACTTTGATTAAATGGAACAATATTTGGGAGCAGTAACACACATTTCAGGAGCTAAGGCAAATATCCTGAACGATAGTCTGAAACAGCAGAAACAACACTATCACTGAATCTACCTTTTCTGAATATCTACCTTAATGCTTTGAAGATTCCCAAAAAATCACACCCTACCCTCCGTAGCATGATTAATCTTTTTTTGAGATTAACAGGTAAATAAGAAATTAAACTCTTAGGGTATAATTCTCCTGCTATAGAACCCATGAGTCTCTAATGCTTCTCAAGTGTTTTTACTATTCTTTGGTTAGTATTCAAAATATATTCTCTAGGCCTGGAGCAGGTAACTCACGTCTATAATCCTAATTATTCAGGAGGATGAGATCCGAGGATTACAGTTCCAAGCCAGCCTAGGCAGTAAGGACTGAGACTTTTTTTTATTTTTAATTTTTTTATTTTTGGTCTGGTTGTGGGGCCTGAACTCTGGGCCTGGGCGCTGTCCCTCAGCTCTTCAGCTCAAGGCTAGCGCTCTACCACTTGAGCCACAGTGCCACTTCCGGCTTTTTTCTTATGTGGTGCTGAGGAATCGTACCCAGGGCCTCATGCATGCAAGGCAAGCGCTCTACCACTGAGCCACCTTCCCAGCCCAGGACTGTGAGATTCTTATACCCAATTAATCACCAAAAAGCCAGAAGCAGAGGTGTGACTCAAGTGGTAGAGCACCAGCCTTGAGCCCCACACGGAAAAAACCAAAAACCTCAGTGACAGTGTCCAGGCCCTGAGTTCATGCCTTATTAGAACTGGCAGATAAAAAGTATCCTCTGTGAGTAAAAATAACAAATGTCTACCTCTAGCTAAACTATTTTTTTAAGATCATATTGTATGTTCCATGTGACTATTTTGATGCTAAAATCCACACATTGTACCAAAATTTCTTGTGTCTCTTTTAGGCAGACATACTTGTACACACATACAATGTAGCAACATTATAGAATGACTACCAACCTCATCTTCAGGGCCTGGAATTGCTGGAGAAGAAGAGCTAGCTGTTGCTGATGCTGGGATGGCAAAGCTGCTTTCTGCTGTTGATTCAAAACCTGTGCATACTGTTGTCTTCAAAAAGTTAAGAAAAAAAATAGAGGGGTGACATATAGCTACATTTATTTTATCAGACTGACACAACAAAAAACAAATTTCAGTAAATCACCCCCAAATTAGCACCATTAGAAATAGCAATCAAATGTATCTTATAATTTTTCCTAATAGTAGTCACACTGAAAATTCTGATTTACTCCAAATAGAACTCAACTCATATAGAAGTTTTGGGGTAGAGGACACAGAGACCCCTTACACACACACACACACACACACACACACACACATCAAATATAATATATATGTGTGTATATACATAACATATAGATATAGATAATGAAGTAAAGGGGCAGGGACTAAAGGGATAAAGAACCTGAGTGATTTTGCCATCAATTCACACCATTCCTAACAGGATGAAGTTTAACTTCTTCCCATCCTCTCACTTATGTGTCTTCTCTATACCATTTAAAGTTGAGCCTCTCAACCATTTGGATAGTGGTAAATATATCACTAGTAGGCTACTGAAATATCACGGAAGCCTTCAATCTTGCGGTAAAGGTAAGACTTGGTCTATCTCAGGCTCGTTTGGTGCTGCAGATATATACTATTACATTACTACTGCTCTTACTGTATTAAGAACTGCTGATACTGAAGGTGTTGCATGTGGTATAAGGTGCTGAGTTCCTGTTGCCTGGCCAGACGTTCCTGGTCCAATTCCCCCTATTAATAAAGAGGTAGAGAAAGAAACACCATTAAGTAAATGGCAAAGGGCATAAAAGTTACTGATCTCTTTATCTGAAAGTAAATAAATCTAACACCTTCAACTCTTTTCTACTCAATCCTTTATCCCAAACTAAAAATTCTAAAAAATTCTAAAAACTTTAGAAACCTAAACAAGCTAGGTGCTAGTGGCTCACACTTGTAATCCTATCTACTCCACAGGCTCAGATTAAGGACTGCAGTTCAAAGCCAGCTTGAGCAGCAAAGTCTAAGACTCTTACCTCTAATTAACCATCAGAAAATTAACCAGAAAACTGGAAGTGGAATTGTGGCTCAAAGTGGTAGAGCCACAGTCAAAAGAGCTCAGGGATAGTATCCAGGTCCTGAATTCAAGCCCCACGACTGACAAAACAAAAACAAAACAACCAGGGCTGGGAAGGTGGCTCAGTGGTAGAGCGCTTGCCTTGCATGCATGAGGCCCTGGGTTCGATTCCTCAGCACTACATAAGCAAAAAGAAAAAAGCTGGAAGTGGCGTTGTGGCTCAAGTGGTAGAGTGCTAGCCTTGAGCTGAAGAGCTGAGGGACAGCATCCAGGCCCAGAGTTCAGGCCCCACGACTGGACCCCCCCCCCCCAAAAAAAAAAACCAACCACAACAAACCCCCCCCCCAAAAAAGAAAAAAACAAAAAATCCTATATCTCAATTTCAGAGAAGAGAAATAAGGCTCAAACTTGGTGTGTAAGTTAAGTCCATAAACAACAATATATAGCATAGTTTTTCTTTTTTTTCTTTTTTGGGTCCGGTCGTGGACCTGAACTCTGGGCCTGGGCACTGCCCTCAGCTCTTCAGCTCAAGGCTAGCGCTCTACCACTTGAGCCACAGCGCCATTTCCGGCTTTTTTCTTTTTGCTTATGTGGTGCTGAGGAATCGAACCCAGGGCCTCATGCATGCAAGGCAAGCGTTCTACCACTGAGCCATCTTCCCAGCCCATATAGCATAGTTTTTCTTTAGAATAAAAGAAGTAGGAAAATTCTCTTCATCTATGAATCCGAGTCATGGCAAAGAATGAGGGCTGCTGTGCTTGCCTATAAACTCTCTAGATTACAGAGGCTATGTCTTACGCATCTTCATCTCATTACCACACTCAGAGAGAGCAAGGAAGGGTGATACTGTCCAAAAAGAAATGTATTCCTTTTTTTTGGTTGGTCATGGGGCTTGAAATCTGGGCCTGGGCTCTGTCCCTGAGCTCTTCAGCTCAAGGCGAGTACTCTACCACTTGAGCCATAGCGCCATTTCCAGTTTTCTGGTGGTTTATTGGAGATAGTGTCTCATGGATTTTGTTGCCCAGGCTGGCTTTGAACCATGATCCTCAGATCTCAGCCTCCTGAGTAGAAGAAATATATTCTGTACCTGACATATAACTGTAACACCTCTATACATCACCTTTTAATAATAAACTTAGAAAAAAGAACTTACCACAAAGGACCTCAATATATAATCAATAATAGGCCATCAAGTACAATGTGTGAATCAGAGTTCACACAATGTTTCTGACTAAGGTCACTTTTAACCATGGCCAGTCACTACTTGCTCTAATTTAGAGATGGAAACATGAGATCTCCAAAAAGAATACTAATTAGGAGAGGCTAGTAGCAGCTTCAAGAGAAAAATTGTCCAGCCAAAGATTCAAGTTCTTGAAACAGCCTCAAGTACTCATGGCATCTGTTTTAGGGTGAGCTTCAAACTTAAGAACTTTATAAGCCATAAAGAGACAAATGGAGGGGAGAGGATGAAATGCATATTCTAACCAGTGGTAACAGAGGTGTTGAAGAATAGTAAACAAACAAATAAATGCTATAATAAGAGCTTTGATAAATGAATAAAATGAACACTATGACATGGTATGAGCTTTGAAAAGGTAGAACCATAATACCAAGTAGGAGTTAGTAGGTAGGTTAGGATAAGGAAAGGTACCAAAGGGGTGTGTTTTTGTTGTGTGTGTGTGTTCACATTGCACACATGTGCACATTTGTACACATGTGCCTTCTTGCATTCCTGACTACAGCCAAGTTTTGAAAAAAATCATTACAATGACAGGCACCAGTGGCTCATGCCTGTAATACTAGCTACGCAGTAGGTTAAGATATAGGATCATGGTTCAAAGCCAGTCCAGGCAGGACAGTCCCTGAGAATTTTATCTACAATTAGCCAGTTAAAAAGCCAGGAGCTGTAGTTCAAGTGGTAGTGTGCTAGCCTTGAGTCCAGTACTGAGTTCAAGCCCCAGGAAAAGCGTGCACGCACGCACGCACGCACGCACGCACACACACACACACACACACAAAATCAAAATGTCATTACAGCTCAGTTTCAGTCTCTCACTGAAAGAGAATGAACTAACTTGAATTAATTTCAAATAAACTATGACTGCTTTCTCTGTAGATAAAATTACAAGGTTGTGTTTCAAAGAGTAACAAGTGCTGCTGTATTTAAAAGAAATGCTAGTTGGAAGGTACTTACCATATGAGGAGGGGGAGCTGGACCTGGGGAGAAAGGAACCCTTCCCCACATTTTCATTATGTCACCAAGAGGCTGGAAGCTTTCATCACATGCTCTCTTCACAAGCAAAGACATTGTAAAATAGCCTGCCTGAAACCATTCTGCCATCTCCTGATTATTGAAGGGACCTGTAAGAGAATGAAACAACAGGGCAATAAAATCACAAAGAAAAAAAAAAAAGCTTTTGGGTCTGATCTTTGCATAAGATTTTACAGTGTCTTGCCAGGTGCTGCCATCCAAGCTACTCAGGAGGATGGGATATGAGGATCAAGGTTTGAAACTAGCATAGGCAAAAATCTGAGACTCTTATCTCCAATTAACAAGCAAAAGTCTGGAGATAGCAATTGTGGCTCAAGTGACAGAGCATTAGGCTTGAGTGAAAAAGCTAAGGGAGAGCCTATTGCACTGAATTCAAGCCGTAGTACCAGCAAATACATAGAGAAATTTTACAGTGTCTTAATTTATCTCTGAAGGCAAATTACAACGGAAACAATTACAAACACAGGAGAAATAATATTGAAATAAGTCTTATTTATTGTTTCTTTATTCATTTGCAGTGCTGTTATGCAAGTATGCCTATAATCCTAGCTACTCAGGAGACTGAGATCTGAGGATTATAGTTTGAAGACAGTCTCTTAAGATTCTTATATCCAATAATTACCAGAAAGCAAGAGTAGAGCGGTGGATCAAGTGGTAGACCACCAGCCTTGGACACATAGACACATATACACAAAATTGAAATCATACAGACTATATTTTTTTAAATCACAACAGAAAACAGAATCAAACCACCTATCAACAAAAGATGAAAATCTCCATACACTTGAAAACTAAAAATATTTCACATAATGATTAAAAAGGAAGAAAAATTTCAAATATATACAAATGAATGAAAATATACATCAACTTCTGGAGACAAAGATACTGAAAGAAAAGGTTACAGTACCAAATCCTCACATGAGAAAAGAAGAATCAGTTCTGGGAATGTGACTCAGTGGTAAAGTACTAGACTATAACTCATTTTACACACATACATATATATACACACACATTTATATATAATTATTCTTTGATTTAAACAAATAATCTAAGTTTGATTTAAAATGACAAATCCTAAGCACACGGAGAAAATAAGAAGCAGAAATCAATAAAATAGAAAATAAAAAGGACTAGAGGTATGGCTCAAATGGTTTAATGTGCAAGAAAGCCAAAAGATGCACCCATAATAATGTGATTTTTGACAAAGAAGTCCAAGGCCAGCTGGGCAAAGTTAGCATGAGACCCTCTCTGAAAAACAAAAAGACTGGAGACATGGCTCAAATTGTACACGCTTGTCCAGCAGCCAGAAGACTGTTGTTAAAATTACATAGGGTTAAGAGTGTTGAAAGGGGGGAAACAAAGGAGGGCACAATGCTTGATAAGGAATGTACTCGTTACCTTACTCATGTAATTGTAACCCCTCTCTATGGTATTTTCACAATAAAAAAAGAAAAAAGAAAATAATTGAGCAGGATGTGTTTTGCTCAGCTGTGTTAGAGCTCCACATGGGACTCATTAAAAAAAAATAAAAGAAAAGAAAAGAAAAAAGGTCTGGTTGCTTCCTCAACAGGAGTTGTCCTCTTGTGAGGACAAGGTCTTCCACACATATAGGACAGAATAAATTTAAAACAAAACAAAACAAAACAAAAAAAGTGTTGAAAGGGGCTGGGAAGTGGCTCAGCGGTACAGTGCTTGCCTCGCATGCATGAGGCCCTGGATTCAACTCCTTAGCACCACATACACAGGCAAAGCCAGAAGTGGGCACTGTGGCTCAAGTGGTAGAGCGCTTGTCTTGAACTGAAGAGCTCAGGGACAGTGCCCAGGCCTAGAGTTCAAGCTCCACAACGGACAAAAAGAAAAAGAAAAAAGAAAAAAAGAGTGTTGAAAGTGTTTAAGTATGGAAAAGGTTAATAAGAGAGTGGGAAAGGTTTATAGGAAAGTGGGGCTTATAAAGCCTTAAAAAATATAAATAATAAAATAAATATAATGCTGCTACTTTGAAGATTTTCACCGATTTTAGGGGTCTCTGGAATGTAACTCCTGAGATAAGTGAGAGATCACTGTAAATTTAATCCCCAATGCTGCTAAACAAAACCCAAGTCCAAAATCCCTTGCAAACAGTGACATAAGAATTCTAAATAAAGGGCTGGGAAGGTGGCTCAGCGGTAGAGCACTTGCCTTGCATGCATGAGGCCTTGGGTTCGATTCCTCAGCACCACATAAGCAAGAAGAAAAAAGCCGGAAGTGGGCGCTGTGGCTCAAGTGGTAGAGTGCTAGCCTTGAGCTGAAGAGTGGAGGGACAGCGCTCAGGCCCAGAGTTCAGGCCCCATGACCGGACCCCCCCCACCCCCCGCAAAAAAAAAGAATTCTAAATAAAATAACAAGCAGAAACCAGGAGCATATGAAAAAGATTATACACCTTGACTAAATGAGACTTCTAGAATGCAAGGATGGTTCAATATATGAAGATTTATCAATGTACACCAGACATGGTGATGCATGCTTATAATTCTAGCCTCAGGAAAGTGAGGGAAGAGTATAACCAGACTATATCACAACAAACCAAAGAGAAGGAGGGTGGAGGTAGAAGGAGAGAGAGGGGAACAGAGAAGAAGGAAGTAAAGACAAGCAAGGGAAAGACAGAGGGAGGGTGGGTGATAACTATATTATAGAATAAAGGAAGAACTACACAATCATTTCAATTGATGCAGAAGAAATGTTGACAAAATTCAACTTTCACTAAAAAAAAAATAAGCAGGAATAGATCTACGCTAAAATAGTGAAAGCCTCACAGCAAATATTATATTTAAGGTGAAAAACTGCATGGTTTTCCTCTAATATCAGAACAAAGATAAGCTTTATTCATAATAGGCAACAACTAAACTCACATGGGCAAACTATGACACATTGATACCATCTAATATTACTACTGGTAATAAGTAACAAACTACTAATATATATAACCACCTGGATCTCCAAGGCATTATGCTAAATACAGCCAATTTCAAATTGTTACATATTGTAACCTTTTTATTTTGTTTTAAGAAAGGGTCTCCTACGGCTCAGGCTAGCCTGGAACTCTTGATCGTCTTGCCTCAGCCTCCTGAGTGCTGAGATTATAAACTGGCATTAGCATTCCTAGATTGCCATCACTTTTTAATGGTCTGGAAGACTAATGCACAAAGATGAGTAACTTACCACCTCCAACTAGATGTTGGAGCTAAGAAAGAGTATACACTATTAAATTAGTTATCAAATTATTCAAGTATTTTTTTCTTCATATTTTATAGGAAAGCTTGTTGGCTTATTTTTCCACTATAGTGCATTTTAACATTAAACAAATCTCCTTCCTAAGACATTTTGGAGGCAATGGCAGACATTGCAGAGTAAAGGAGAAATAACAACTTACCTTGAATTTCTCCCTGAGGATCTTTATAATACCATTTCTGCATTGCTTCATGCATCAATGGAATTGACACTCCTTTAGCTCTATGTTCTTGCAGTTTTGATGCTAGTCTCTCATCGTCTAGTGCACTGTCTTGGAGATAAGCCACCATCTTCTCAGCTTGCTAGGAACAAAAAAATGAAATGGTATCCTAAATTAATATTCAGACATGTAATAATAATGGCCACTTCTTAAGACTACTTTCTTTGTGAAAGGCACTATCTAAGGCACACAGCAGGTAACAATTTAACTATCTCAAAAGATAACACAAAATAGACAGTGAGAGAACCTATTATACACAAAGACAAAACTAGAGTCAAAGGTGTTCGAGTTTTCAGCAAGGTCTCAAAACAATTAGGCAAACTCAGATTGAAATGCAAACTATTTATGGATATAAACCCAGACTTCTAATAATACATTAACAAGCTTCTAAATCATTAAGCTGCTGGTCAACTCTAAATAGTCTAAACAAACCCTGTATGTTTAGGCAGAATGGTTAATAGAACAAGAGCCTCAACAAACACAATTACAAATAAAGTCTTTAATAAGTTTTAGTAACATAATACCCCTTGCTATTCTTCAGCATATCCTGATTCTAACCATCTTGTCCCATAGGCAAGAGAATTTCTTTTGTATAAAATCAAGCTACCACACCAAAAAAAGGGCAAGCTATCACTATTTTACCTGTAACAATGCTATATATTAGAGAAATCTAGAGACATTAGTAACCTTATAACTATTCTCCCTGCTGTACTTTAGGCAAAAACACAACAAATACAACAACAACAACAAAAAAACCCTCAGAAAAGTTATCATCCACAGCTGCTGTCTTCACCATTTTTGGCATTCCTTAATGTCCAAAAGAAAAAAGAAAACAGCTAAGGGCAACCTCAGAAGAGCAAAAAATAACCTGACAAAATGGCTACTACATAGCAGAAACTTATAAGCATGAAATTATTTGAAAGACAATTACTCACAAAAATACTAAATAACCCAACCTTTAGAGAACTTAAAATCTAGTGTATAAAAGTACTTTATTTGAATATTTAATAAAGCTTTTCCAATTTTTTATGGCAGTTTGGACAGAGACAAGAATGAATGTGATTACCTGTTCCAAGTGTTTGAGACCCTCTTCATCATCTGGCTCTGTAGAAACACTGCCCATACCAGGAGCGCCAACAACAGGTTGCTCAACTGGCTGCAGGGCAGGACTAGGAGTGGAAACAGGAGGTGGAAGGATGAGAAGAGGAGAAGCTGTGTCTGAAGGGAGCTGTGTCAGGGGCTGCTGGACATCAGGAACCATTTCTAAAGGGAAAGAAGTTACACTGATAACAATCTTTGGAAAGACGTAGACTCTAAGAAGGCTAACTTTGGGGCTGGCAAGGTGGCTCAGTGGTAGAATGCTTGCCTCACATGCAATGAGGCCCTGGGTTTGATTCCTCAGGATCATATAAGCAGAAAAAACCGGAAGTGGTGCTGTGCTCAAGTGGTAGGGAGCTAACCTTGAGCCGAAAAGCTGAGGGACAGAGCCCAGTTCCAGAAGAGTTCAGGCTCCATGACAAAAAAAAAAGGCTAACTTTACATTATTAAGGTGGGCAGCTGCTAAAACTAAGCCCAAATGAAATGTGTACTCTGCCATGAACACTGAAGCCACTCCTTGAGAAGTGTAATATTTTCTCTCTAAGAATGACAGCATTATGTCCACAGAAGAACAAAGGTAAGTTTTGCTACAAGATCTATGTATAACATAGAGCATCTGCCCAACAGTTATAGGCAGATCCCTTGGCAAGGGAGTCGGAGTCAACCTCATCTGGGCCTGGGAGCTGTCCCTCAGCTCTTCAGCTCAAGGCTAGCGCGCTACCATGTGAGCCATAGCACCACTTCCGTTTTTTTTTTCTCTGCTTATGTGGTGCTGAGGAATCGAACCCAGGGCCTCATGCATACAAGGCAAGCACTCTACCACTGAGCCACCTTCTCAGCCCCTGGATTCTTAATTAACTGTCTTTACTATTTCCAAATTAATCAAGGACTCCTAATTATCTCTCAAGTCTGTCATATCTCATATAAACCTTTATTGAAAATGTATACAATAATCCTACATAATTACCTATTCAGAATCATAATTAGAACAATTCAATAAATTACATGCTTTATTTAAGATATCTGAACAGTGAAGGATGCTTTTCTCAGTAACGATAAAAATTGGAAAAGCAGCTATCTTGATTCCTAGTTCTAATCACTTGGTATGAGGGCACTTAAGGAGGGTAGAAGTGGGGAGGCAGAAGTAACTGGATACAATTACAGCTTCTCCTTTGAAGGCTTTGTTCTGTTAGAAATAGCCTCTCCAAATTCTTCTCCTTACTTTGTATTGGGCTTTAATGGACAGTATCCACTTTACTACTACCTAACTGCCCAGTGACCTATACTTCCCAACTCTCTCAAAGATATGCAGTAAAGTGACGCAAAGCAGCCAAATTCAGTGACTCCTCCTCATCCTCATGATCCAGTCTCTTTGTACATCAGGTCTTATTAATCCAGTTCTAAACTGACTTCTCCTTTCTCAATTTCTATGCACTCTACTCTCCTGGCTTGTACTACTTGTCTCTGATGATTTCTGTTTTCCCTTCCCCTCCCCACATCTAAAACTGAATTACCTATTATTCTAGTCACAGTCTTTTTTCCTAATCTTTACCAAGTGTACGTAATTATTTGTTTTATTTGTTGAAACAGGATCTTACAATGTAGTATAGGCTGGCCTCCAACTTTTTAAATTCACCCATCTTAGCTTCCTGAGAGTTAGGATTAAAGGTATGTGCCACCTAGACCTTAAGTACTACTTGTCCCTTATTTACAACTGTCTTCTGGCTATCACTACTTAATTTCTTATTAATACTTCAGAGTAAACATTCAAAACTGAATTTATTTCTCCTCTCCCAATGGGCACCTCAATGAATCCTGAGAACAGCACCATAATCCTCTCAAATACCTCAGTCATCTTTGACTCTTCTCCACCCTGATACACAATAAATAACAGTCAATTACTAGGCCTTGCCAATTTCAACTTTGAAATCTCATGTGCCACTACCTCACTTTACCAGTGCTCTGCCTATCTTATGATTGCTAAGAAGTCTAACAGGACAGAGTATAGTTCATCACAAGATACCCTAACACACAGCTATCTAATTTAAGTTGCAACCTACTTCCCACAAGCTTCTTTTTGATACCTCACATCCCATTTAAATAAGCCCAGGAATTGATTCTTGCCAGTGCCTTGATTACTTCCTCACTTTATTCTTACTGCTTTCTGGTACAGCAATGTTCTCTCATAATTCTACTAATTATTCCATGGTATGTTCAAAGACTATTTGCTTCCCAAAGCATACCAACTATATGCTAATAGTCAACTATCATTATTTTTGTCCTGGGTTACTGATACATTCACGACTCAACTCCCTACAGAATGTCAGCCTTGTAAGCATATCTATGAAGCTGTCTCAAAATATACATGCCTAGATGAGATTCTGAGATTCTGAAACTTCCTAGAATAAGACCTTCAGGCATGTCAAGAACGTTCACTGCAAGCACTTCTGAGGCACAACGTAACTGAGCACTTCTGAGGCACAACGTAACTGAGAAGCAACTACTATGAGTCAAGGAGATCTCAAGATGTACAGTTCACACAGTGCCTGATATGTAGAAAGGCAAATACATGCTTGCTTGCTTCATTCGTTCATTCATCCATTCAACTGTGTTCTAAACATAAAAAAACTAAAGAAATTCTTGGTTCAAGTCTTCAACATTGTCCATTGGGGAAAACAATCATTCTTTGTCATAGTGTTAGAAACTGTTGGTTGTTAAAAAGACTGAAACTGTATGAAGGGACACAGATGCAAGATCATACAAGGCATCACAAGGTATACATTTTTGTGGTGAATTTATCACTTAACCTTTTAATACTAAGTGTTACAACATCTGAAGCATTATATGCGCGCATGAAAATGTTATGATGAAACCCATAAAAATGTACTCATCCCCAAACAATAAGAAATAAACAGCATGTGGCCTGAAAAAGAGTTCAGAAGGAGGAAGAGGAGCTATATAATACTACAAGCTTATTTTGTATCAAAGGTGACTGACTTCTAGATTCATCTATGTATTCTTTTGAAACAACGGCATTTTAGTGTGATGACAGGCACAGAAGTACCAAAGGAGTAACTGTCAGGGGAGTCAAACCAATGCAGAGGATCCAATCTGAGCCTTCAGAGGCTGTCAAGACCTTAGGACGTGAGAATCTAGAACCATGTCCTTGCATATTCTAACTCTGATATGGTGAATTCTAAGAAAGATACATATGTGCTTGACTGAGGTTACTGGTAAAATAATCGATTCCCAAAACTGACCCCCAAGAGACATAAATAAAAACCTGTGACTTTAGCTTGTCTACTCTCATAGATACATACCATCCCCTCTGCTGGGCACTTTGGCTGGTAAACTGTTTTCTGTCCGACTCTCCTCTTCAGCTTTTTCTATCTGTTCCGTTTTTGGTTCATCTTTCCTCTCACACTGTGGTGCTTCCTGAGGCTTATGGTCTGAAGGAGACCCTGGTCTAGCAGATGAAGTTTGGGGTGTTTCCTCACTGGCTTCTGGAACACAAGTAATCTCAAATCAATTCAGCAAAGTTTGGGTTTGATGAGGGAAAAAAAAAGGTAAAAAGACAAAATGGGTCTTACCAACTGCTACTCTGTCTGTTTTCTCTCCATCTTTCTTATTTGTCTTATCAGGTTCTTTGGCCTCTTCATTATGGCTACCCTCAGAATCAGAGCACTCCTCCCCTTCCTCCACAGGCCGGAAATCCATCTCCTGCTCTTCAGGAATAGGCTCTTTCTGTACTTTCTATAACAATAAATTAAAACTGAAGGTCGACAACATATTTGGCTTTGGTACAATGTCAGTGCCTGTCCTGACATTTAAATAAACTTCTTGCCAGGCACCAGCAGCTCATACTTGTAATCCCAGCTACTCAGGAGGCTGAGATCTGAGGAGCAAGAGTCAAAGCCTGCCTAACCAGACAAATCCAAAAGACTCTTATTGCCAGTTAACCAGCAAAAAGCCGTAAGTGGAGTTGAGGCACCAGTGATAGGGCGCCAGCCTTGGGCGACAAAGGCAGATAAGAGCATAACACCTAGAACCAGCACAAACAAAACAAAGTAAAAATAAAAACAAAAAACAAAACTCCTTACTTTTAGAGAAAGGAATGCTCCAGATGAATCAAATGTACCCATTTCTTCTTCAGCATCCTCTAAGCACCATTCCGGTAAGCTATCCCTGTCATCATCCATACTCCCACTGCCAGAGCGCACCCTTCGATAACCCCGCTCATCATCTCGATCTCGAAAATCAAACTCAAACCTCCGACGGCGTTCCATGTGCTCCCGCCAGCCTGAAGAGCGAGGGCCATCTGAGGTAAGAGAGGACATAAATGTTAGAAAAGTTTTATAATACTATTTGAAAAATAAAATTATGAAAACTTCATCGATAGGATATCCAAATGGGCCAATCCACCTAAAGAGAAAAATTAAGGAAGGTGAATGAAACCCAGAGTTCATAGTATACATACCATCACTAAGTGACAGCAACATTTAAAGTATTGCCATACCACATCCTCAAAGCAGAAAAAGTAAAGCAATTAGCCATACATGTATTCTACTCCTAGCCAAGACAAACATTTAGTATCTTCAGAAACTAAAATTTAAGCCTTCCTTTTGTCAGATATTAAGGAACTTTGTTCCCATGAAAATATTACTCTATATGCATAAGACTAGCTTCCTTTATCAATTCATAGTATCAAACACACTTTGTCTACTTACTAGTACCAACTTTGCTCTTGTAATTTTGATTCCCAACAAACGGTATGGAATTCTAGCAGCTTATATGTTGGAAGAGATATATGACTCACTATCCTAATTTTATTGATTAAGTAGAAACTCAAATTTTAACAACAGATATAACTGGCACAATGACAAAGCAAAGTTGAATCCAATTCTACATCCTCTGCTGCTTTTTCCACAATAACATGCCTGCTATCCTTTTCCCTTTTCTCATCTTTTAATTCTCCTTTCTGTGTAACACCCTCAGGGGCATTCCTAAATCTAAGCTAGCATACTATTTATTGCAGCTACTTTCCATCAGAAAAAGACTGCCTAAGATAGCTATTAAACTATTTTATTTAAAAAGAAATTCTTGTTAAAATCTGTCAAATCTAAGAATAAAACATTCTTAAAAAGAAAGTTTTAACCTATGAGAATTTTCTATTTATGACTGCCTACTCCACTGGGAGATATACAAATAAATAATGAAAAAGTGAAATGGTCTTACTATTGAAACCCAATTTGCTAGAGCCAGCAATCTAAAGAACAAAGGAGCAAAACAATATGATGCCAAATACTAGTAGCATCTTATAAGATACAAAAAGATACTCATCTCACATTTCATACTTCTATTTACAACAAAACACTATTACATTTCATACTTCTATTTACAACAAAACACTATTTACTATCATCTATGAGACTCGAGAAATCTTATTGTATGCAGATTATTTAAATATAAACCTAAAACTATTACTTGAAAGCAATCGAAGTCAAATGTTGAATTCCAAAGTTCTCTGTCTACACCTATCAGTTCTAAACAGCCTAAGTATGTACTGTGATAGGAATCTATCCTTCTAGACCCCCCACCCCCACCCCAGCTCCTATTTCCCTCTACTTGAGTTTCCTAAATTCAGTTTCCAGAGTGGATGTTTCACTGTCCTCCATGATCTATCTCCAGCCATAAGCCCTACTTTAATAAAACTACATCCCATAATTCTGTTGCTATCTTACCAAGAGCTAATAAAATATTAGTCATGAAACTAAAAAGCAGCAGGCAAGGCAGACAGCTTATTAAGGCTTAACATTGCTTTATAGACATTACATCTAAGCTTAAGACATTATTTTCATAAATTAGTCAAAACAATTGTATTTCATATTCTACTCGTATTCTAACAAAAGATTATAACTTAAGGGTTAACCTATAACTGATGTAATCAAACTAAACCTTCAGTATGCTTCATTAAAAAGTAAATAGCTTTCTGCTTTTAAAAATGTGCCTAGTTTAGACTCTTTAGACTCTCCAAAATGTATGTTAAAAATATATGGATAAAATGTTTTGGAAAACTGTCAAGTTGATGGCAAAATATTAAAGTCAAATTAAGGAAAAAGGTTCTAAAAAGATGAGAAAGACAATCCATATCTAAATTGTAGGTGGGCTGCGGTGGGCAACAGTAGAACATTAAAATTGTACTTGTTTAACTGCTTTTAATAGAATCAATATCACACATTTGGTCTTAGAAACATTGCTCATCTTCCAAAACATTCACCTTGTTTGTTTTTGACTAGCTGGAATTTCTCTTCTTCTTGCTCAGCCCAAATCTGGTCCATTCTTCACTGAAGGCTTGTTGGGAACATAGTCTACAATCCCTTCTGCTTACAGGCAAGCACAGCACAAAATGCTGCAATGTCTTGAAGAGAACTATACCATTTGGTTGCCCAGGACACAGATTGATGAAAACTGCCTAGATCCTATGACGTAAACAATGCCTACTAATGACTGAAAATTTGCCCAAGAGGCAACCACAAAGACTTAGTGTAAATGCATCATAACTTTACTCAAAGACTAACTTTTGTATATTTCTACCTACCCACAACTCCATAAAATAGTCTGAATGCCTATCATAATGTTTCCTAAGACGTAGGCTACTGGTTTGGCTAAAACTTAATTTTAAAAGTAAAAGAAAATTACACCATAGTTTCCTCAATTAAAAGTAATCTTATCTGGCATATGGCTTATAGAAAATATGATTAGGTACATAAAACTCATAATGTATGCACATACACTGACCCCTCAGCATGAGCCACAGTTGCATCTGATTACCATGAGGCAAGGGATCAGTACTGTGGTAGAGAATGAACTTTAACACAAAGCACCAGTGTCTTCAATTACCAGCGTATCTAATGTCCAAGAAGAACAGTTTGAAGCATTCTTAAGAGTCTAACAGAAGAATCTAAAACACTACTAATCACTATTATTCTGTCTCCCTTTTCAAAAGTCAAAAGAACAAACTTGTGATTATGTCTCTGACCTGGGTTTAAAGTTCATTCTTCAAATAAGTATAAATGACATTTTCAGAAAGAAAAAAAATGTAGAAGAAAAAAATCCTTTCTTATTCAGGAAAAATACTAGAGAGACTATATTCTCAAATGTACAGTTATATACTTAGTTTTTTTTCCTCAACACTTGAATACTATAAGTTTTAAACAATGCTAAAGATGGTTTAAAAGATTCAGAGTTAGACAAAACTGAATAAAACTATCATTTTTTTTCTGGGTTGCAGACAGGTGCTTCTACTAAACTGTATTATATGTCTCAGGAAAATAAAGTAATTTCAAACAACTGAATGTATTATGTATTGAGGAGTTGTTTCTTGAATTTTTTTTCACAGTTCACAGTAGGCTGAGTATGCTGGCATAAAAAATTTTCTTTTCTTTTTTTTTAAACAATTTGCATTTTCCTTTTTTTTTTGGTCGGTCATGGGGCTTGAACTTTGGCCCGGGCGCTGTCCCTCAGCTCTTCAGCTCAGGACTAGTGCTCTACCACTTGAAGCACAGTGCCATTTCTGGTTTTCTGGTGGTTTACTGGAGATGAGTCTCACAGACTTCTCCTGCCTGGGCTGGCTTTGAACCGTGATTCTCAGATCTCAGCCTCCTGAGTAGCTAGGATTACAGGCGTGAACCACAGGTACCCACCTGCACTTTCCTTTTAATCCTAAACATTTTCACCAAACTCCCCCTTCTTTCAGTTCCTGTGTGCTTTATAACACAACACTTACCAGGGCTGTGGGGCCGCCACCGCTCTCCATCCCTTCTTGATCCAGCTAATCTCCAGCCTCCATCTTCATCTTCTCCATTTTGTTCCTCTCTAAAAATTCTCCAATTTTCACTTTCTGACCGTATAAATTCATGCTTTCTCCCCACTGATGTTGGTCCACTTTCCTCAAAATTTGGTCTCACTATAACAAAACAAAAAAATGGCATAGTTACCGAAACATAAATAACATAAGCCCTGAACAAATATGAACAAATATGCCAGCTCACAGTAAGCTTTCTTCAAGCTTTCCCATTTTAATGTTCATGAAGTATGAATAAAATAAGTGTGGTTGGGATGGGAATGTGACAGTGGTAGAGTGCTTGCTAAGCATGCACTGAAGCCTTGGGTTCAATTCCTCAGTACCATATAAACAGAAAAGGCTGGAAGTGGCACTGTGGCTCAAGTGGTAGAGTGCTAGCCTTGAGCAAAAAGCAAAAGAAGCTCAGTGATAGTGCCCAAGCCCTGAGTTCAAGCCCCAGGACTAACTCCTCATCCCCCCAAAAAAGTTTGGTTATCTTAAAGCTGAATTATCATAGACAAGGAAATTTCACTCACACACACACACACACACACACACACACACACACACACACACACACACACACACTTTCTTCTCTTTTCTCTGGAGAGTCTTAATTCCCTCGAATTAATTACCATCATTAATCTATTAAAAAGCCCCACCCAAAGTGTCCATGGCTCACTATGGATGTCATCCACACAAATGCCACTTTCAGCATGTGGTACTATTACACATACTGTTTTGAATCCTTGCTAGTTTCACTTAACAGTATATCTTGCCAATTCACCCTAGCCAGCTCTTACTTTTTGTCTGTTTGCTTTTGAGACAGGTCTTCAAACTTAGAATCCCCTTGCCTCATCTGGAGTGCTGGGATTCAATATCTGGCTCATACCTGAACCATACCTGGCCAACAAAAACATGTTTGAATGATAGTCTCTATTACTTGATGTACTATAATTTATATAACCAGCCTGTATTGGTGACTGTGCCTGAACAGGAACTATATACAGTTAAACCTCTTCTATTAAAAAAAAAAAAGATCACAAATTTAAAATAATGTTCCCATTTACTCCAGCACCTAGTACAATACATATATACAACAAACCACTTTGAGACAATGTTAAATACTAAGCTAGGTCTAACTTAATGTCTTAAGAGTTGAATTAGGTCATTCTCACCCTAGAGATGACCACTTTTTGTTTATTGAAAATGTTAATTCCTTTCCTAATTATCTTTCCTATCATTTTTTTTCCTTTCAAATCTAGCCTAAATTCCCTCCAGAAAACAAGGACAAGGTAGATAGCTGTACTGACTCTATGGTAACATTTCTGGTAATATGTCTGTCTGCAGGAGATTTGTTCCTTCTCTGGAGCATTTCTAGTTAACTGGCCCATAGGAGGTAACTCTCACAAGTATTTACTTCTCAAACTGAGACAACTTTTAAATATTTAGTGAATTCTAAGTGTATAAAACTACTACTACAGCTCTAAGACTAAAAAGTTAAGTTTGAGGCAATTCAGCCAAATATAGCCAGGCACAGATCAATGCAATGTCTGACTCTGCTATGTTCTTGATCTCCTGACTCCACAAACTCCTCCGTAAACAACTACATGGACTGTGATTTCCAAAGGACATCCCTATTGTAAAAGGGCCTGGATAACTTACGAGTGGAATCACTGCTGTCTCCACAGAAATTGAGGGCTAAAGATTCCTAAATTAGATCTGCTAGATAAGTTAGCCAAAGAGTGACTTAATTTATCATTCCCCAGAAGAATTCAAGGTCTCAAGTCTTTGAAGGGGAAATGATAGGTTAACCATGAGCAATGGGAAAATGCAAAGAAAACTTAAGCATTTCAACTTAAAAGGTAACCAAGGTTCTGGAACTTCCTAAGACGTGTTTCTAGCCGGGCGCCAGTGGCTGATGCCTGTAATCCTAGCTACTCAGGAGGCTGAGATCTGAGGATCGCAGTTCAAAGCCAGCCCAGGCAGGAAAGTTCGTGAGACTCTTATCTCCAATAAACCGCTAGAAAACCGGAAGTGGTGCTGTGGCTCAAGTGGTAGAGCGCTCGCCTTGAGCTGAAGAGCACAAAGACAGCACCCAAGCCCAGAGTTCAAGCCCCACGACCGACCAAAAAAAACCACCTAAGACGTGTTTCTATCTATCCCACCCCATCCAGTCCTGGGGCTTAAACTCAAGGACCCGTATTTAAGCTTTCTGTGCTCAAGGCAAATGCTCTGCCACTTAAGCCACAGCTCCTGGTGGCTTTTCTGGTGCTTAATTGGAGATAAGAATCTCACCAAGGGGCTGGGAAGGTGGCTCAGTGGTAAAGCGCTTGCCTTGCATGCATGAGGCCCTGGGTTCGATTCCCCAGCACCACATAAGCAAAAAGAAAAAAAGCTGAAAGTGGCGCTGTGGCTCAACTGGTAGAGCGCTAGCCTTGAGCTGAAGTCCCTTGAGGGACAGTGCCCAGGTTCAGAGTTCAGGCCCCATGACTGGACCCCTCTCCCCCCCCCAAAAAAAATCTCACCAAGACTTTCCAGCCCCAGCTGGCTTTGCACTATGATCCTCAGATCTTGGCCTCCTGAGTACCTAGGATTACAGGCATGAGCCACTCACCTAACGATTAATGAAAGGCTTCATTCCAGCCTATTTAGTGAGTCAACTACATCTCTAAGCCCTTTACACTTCAACAAAAACTTGTGCCAAAGTAAAAACAATTGCTTTTGGTCTACTGAAAGTGTATTTGTTTACTAATAAACTTTCCTATCATTTCCATTACAAAAAAAAAGTTACATTAAGTGTAAATTGCTTGTTAAACTGTATGGGGTATGTGTGTGTGTGTGTGTGTGTGTGTGTGTGTGTGTGTGTGTGTGTGTGCGCGCGTGCGCGTGTGCGTGTTTATCCTGGGGCTTGAACTCAGGGCCTAGATTCTGTCACTAAGTATAGTTTCCAAAGCAGGCTGGATTCAAACTGTGATCCTAAGATTTGAACCTACAGAGTAGGTGGGATTATAGGCATGAGCCACTGGCATCCGGCGCTAACTACTTCCGTGTTGTGGTCTGTAGAGTCCGTGTGCCCCAACAAACCCTGCCTGTTGGTTTTGTATAAGTCATTGTGTACAACAATTCATCCCTGACAAACAGAATCCAACTAAAGTGATGAGGTGCCATTCTGATACTAAGCTTAAAAAGACTGTGGCTTCCACCTAAGGAGAGCCAGCAGTCAAGGCATGGTATGACCCAGTGGAGAACTGAGGCCTGCCACCACAAGATGACGCAACACCAACAGCGTCTGAAAGATGAGGGCAGAGCCTGTACACAGAAGCTAACAGCCACGGCACTCTCGGCTGCTGAAGGCAAGCAACTAATGATTAATGACTGGCATGAGACCTTCTTTTAGGGCTGAGGTGGGTATAAAATTATGTTGTGTTAATGGGTGTACAACTGAAAATTGGCTTAAATCTACTGATCTGGACACTTTAAAAGGTCCCATTTTATGGTATGGGAATTATATGATAATCAAGTTGTGATTTTAAAAATACTTTAAAATTTTTAAAGGAGACAATCCTTTCTATAAACCACCATTTTCATTAAATGACTTAATGAAGAGAAATTTAAAACAAAGAAACCTTTAATGTAGGGCAGGGTGTGGCAGGAATAGAAAGTAGAAGGCAAACAAGGGCAGGAAGAAACTTCAATGTATATAAATTGGAAAATAGTGAAGAATGGCTTTTTACAGAGAAATACATGCCAAGTACTGAGCTGCAATTTGTACATACAAAGCTAATTACATGATTACTAGTCAAACCACTCACTTTCATCATCAACTTTCACACCAAGCTTCTGAAAAATTAATAAATGTACCAAAGTAAACAACAGTATTAATGGAAAAATGCATAATTCATCAAAACCCATTATCAGTACTTTTCCTAACAATTCAATTAATATTAAAATGTTAAAATTATTATGCTAGGAACTAACCTATGAATATTAAAAATAGAAATCTATCCAGAGATGGTGGCACATGCCTATAATCCTAGCACTAGAGAGGGTGAGGCTGGAGGATTATTGAGTTGAAGCCAGCCTGGGCTACATACAGAGTTTGAGGCAATCTAAGCCACCCAGTGACACTTTGTCTCAAAAAAAATAGGGAGAGGGAGTTATGTCAAAGCTAATCAAAGAAAGCTCTCCATCCTTTCTTCCTTTAGAGAATGTCTCCCTGTGTGGCCCAGGAAGGCCTCAAGTGCACAAGTATATGCCACCATGTCCAGTATGACATTTTTATATTGTTGCCCTCTATATAGTTACTATTTTATAATCTAGTTTTCACTTATGATAGCAAATAGTTCTCTATGATTATACATCTTCCTACTAATGCAAATGGGGGCATGCTAGTTATATCTTGCTACTAAACCATAATGAACTTGTATACTGTAACTAACTTTTTTCCCATTGTAGACAATGAGGCAAGAAGTATCTACCACCATGTGTACTTTGCATTTTTTTCAATTACTTACTGTGAATGAAAAACTTAAGAGTAAAACTACTAGGCCAAATGACAGGCTTGATGTATTAATACACCTCCACATAAAAAATGGGGAAAGGAAAAAGCCAGGCGCCAGTAGCTCATGCCTGTCACCCTAGCTACTTAGGAGGCTGAGATCTGAGGATCAGGTTCAAAGCCAGCCTGGGCAGGAAAGCTTTTGAGACTCTTATCTCCAATAAACCACTAGAAAACCAGAAGCGGCTCTGTGGCTCAAACGGTAGTGCTTGCCTTGAGCTGAAGAGTGCAGGGACAGTGCCAGAGTTCAAGCCCCATGATGGACCAAAAAAAAGGGGAGACGAGAGGAGGACCCAAACATTATATTATTTGTATTATTAGCACTGAATGATGCTATATTTGACTTGTACTAGTGTTTGAATACTCATGACCTTGAGCTTCCTAGGTATAGAGGAGACCCCAATTAAGAAGATATGGTGGACAAAGAACTATCAAGATCCAGATGGAAACAAGGGGTTTCTTTGTTATTGTTTTTGTCTTGTTTATTATCTGTTTTTAGGAGGGTAAATGGGGAGGAAAGAAATGGAGGAACAAAAGGTGAACAAATGCAGCAGTGGTACTA